TTGATAATGCTTTTCTATAGAGACGCTGGATGTGTGCAATTGAATTGAGACACATGCTACATGTGTGCAATTGAACGCATGCATCAGCAATGTGTGCACCTTATAAAGTAGCTGAATCTGCTAATTAGAGGGGGTGTCTGGAGCAGGCCATCAAAAATTTAATCACTATTGCACTACCGATGTCCAAGTTTTGCCAGTCGTGCATCACATCATTCCAACAGGCTGAACATCAGGAATCTTAATCTTTGATTTTTTATCATAAATAAGCTAGTTTACTACATCTTTCCAACAAAAACTGCTTACTGTTCTTGTTTTTCTCAAACTTGTTTTTCTAAAACTGGAAATTATGCTTTTAAGTAAGTAAGTAAGTAAATAAATAAATAAATAAATTTCTATTCCTCCATTATTCCTGGGAAACACACTGAACCACAATTGGCACACTACTGGCAGGATAAAACAAGAGCTTTGGCACAGGCAGATGCCACCAGTCTCTCCACCCACCGACCTAGAGAGAATAACTTACTTAATAGCAGTGACAACCTGAGTAAGCTGGCTTAAGGATGTGATCATTTTGAAAAGGAGCCTTTTCATGAAGCCTGACCTTTGCCTTATTACTCTGGTCTTTAAAAGCTCTTTAGAATACTGGAACCTGAGCAAAGAGAAATAAAAGCAAAATAGACAAACCAACCGGTTGAAACACATTTAAAACAAAAAAATGCACATATTCCTACATCACAGTGGACACGCTGGGTTAGTACAGCACAAGACTACACTTCACACGTCAGTCTCCTTTTATTGTTGCTCTGATTAAACGAATTAACATGGGTTTTTAAAATGTAAGTATTAAAATGGCATTAAAAATTAAATACATTGAATTTGTTGATACACGCAGGTGCTCAGATAATATGTATTTTAAACTGTCCTACTTGTCTTACTGTAAGAAAGAGCCTGATGAACACAAATTTTTCCACTCTTTGCCACATAGAACTTTATGTATGAAGTGTTTTCAAGTGGCTTCCTTTTAATTTTTCAGTGAAGCATTCTGGAATCTTTAAAAAGATTCTGTACAGTATGTCATTGTTCAGCCTATTAAAACAGACACACACAGACGGATCACTCGATTAATCATATAATAACTGCTAGATTAATCAATTAAATAACTGCTGGATTCCTCAAAGACTTGATTTATTTCATTTCCAGTCATAACAGCCATTAAGTCATTAATTAGATATTTTGAAGAGATTAGATACAAGATAATCCATCTGCACAAGGAAGAGAGTCAAAGGAAAATAAGTGAAAAAACTGGAGTTCAAAAAATTATTAAAAGATACTGAAAATGACCAATGTCAAACTGTTACCATCATTACTTAAAGTTTCAGTCAAAGTTTAAACTTTCACTGTGAGATGACAACTCAATGCAATGAGTCTGAAAGTAGACAATTTGCAAATGAGAAGACAATTTGATCAAACAAAGAGGCTGCTGGTGTTTTCAGAACAATGGACTGTGTACTCCAGAGTCCAGAATTCAGCATTATTTAAGTGTTTGAGATTACTTGCATTGTGTGACATAGAAAATACAACCCATTTCTAAGGCTGAACTTCGGAGGTGTGGAAACATATCCCTGGAGATCTCTGCGAAAAACAAAGTCTCCTGAAAAAGATAGAAGCTGTAATAAAGGCAGAAATGACACACTAAATACTGAAATTTGATATTATATTTAGGTCTTGGTACTTCAGCTGTTTTCCTGATGCTGATAAATGTATAACTTGAACTTGCAAACTGCCTGTTTGCCTGGAGATTTAATAAATGAAGGTAACTTTTGCACAGTGTTGTAATCAGTGCTGTAATCAGTAGTGACAGTCCTAGATTTTAATATCTCAATCTGAACATGCAGACATCAACTACTTTTTGCAAATTTTAATGAGCCAAAGGAAACAAAGTCTCTGACTGTATTACCGATGACATGGGAGACAAATGTGCTATTAATACCCTTGGAAGAGACACTGGATGAGCAGATGTCTGTTATAATGTATATTGCCTGCACAAATAACATTCTACTCTTGACTGATAGAGAACACCATTTAATTTGGTCTATTCTCTTAAATATAAAAGATATAAAACTAAAACGGACAGATAAAGGCATGGCAGGCAGATATATTGTATATTCTGTTCATGGACATCACCCCCTAAGTCCTTGTCTTGTATGAAGTGAGGGGGTTACTGGAGCACTAAAGGGCCCCACCCCACCTCCTCTGAAACAGTTTTACTTCCCCTCACACAGCACTTCTCAAGGTTGCCATGTCTGCTGCCTCCAGATTTTTTCAGAATGGCTATTCAGTAATAGTAATGGAGCTTACTATGTGCACTTAGAGAACATTGAGTGCACAAACTCAAATCTCCCAGAAAACAGGGCCAACCAAGCACCTCCAACCAATGAGGGGATTTCTAAGTAAGATATTTAGGAAAGGCAGACAAGACATGCAAAAGTAATACACTAACTACAACGAAGATTTTAAGATGCCTTGAAAGAAATGTTATAAAATTCTTAAGCAAGGAAGAAATTCACTTACAAAATAAACAAACAATGAACACATTTTCTTTTTTTAACACAAATATATATACACATCTCTTTTACAAATTTAAACAAAAACTTTGTTTCGAGCTACCATTTATGAACAAAAGGTGGAAATGTCAAAGCGTACTCCGCAAATAGGTTCAACTGTAACAGTGTGTTATAGGTGTGCGGGGAAAAATCGATTCTTAGATGCATCGCGATGCAGATGTGGACGATTCTGAATCGATTCACAAAGGTCAAAAATCGATTTTCTAAATATTTAATTTATAACGTAATGTTGACGGAACACAAAAGGCAGAACTTGTGAGTACGGAAGTGCAGCGCCCAGACACTCTTTGGCGGCACATAACAAAAACACAACTGGATGAGTGAGAAATCTGACCGGCACCCTCTGCATTAAAAGCCAGGATAGGTTAGGAGTCACAACCCAAATGTTAAGAAGAGCCATTTTGTCCTTTCAACAAAAATCAAACCACCTTGGGAGCCACAACATTTAATGTCCAATATGTCTCAGTATGTGATAATGTCGTAGTATAGGTTAAAATGTCTCTCAACATTCGACTGTTTTATGAGGCTGAAATCAGCTTCTCATTCTCCAGCTTGTTGTTCGAATTCTCCCGTTCCACCTTAAATTCCGCCTGAGGCGCCAGAATGTAAATGCAGTCTATTTAAGATGGACCGGGAAAATTTTAAAGACTTCATCTTCGCAACTTTTTAGTGTTTGACAGTCTCTCCTTGCAGATTTAATGTACCAGGAAACCATCTGCGTTGCTTATAAATGCGAATAAGTCCATTCGTCTCCAAATGTTCGTCCTAAATCTCTCTTTGCCTTTTCATTTGCTACTAGCTAGGCGAGACTGCATTGCTAGGTGACCTGCAGTCTGCACGCCAGGGGAAAAAGTGGCCTATATAAGAGCCATACTATATGCAAGTTGTGTCACACTAAACTAAAATATTTTGGTAATGACAAATATGAGAAACCATATTACACGTTTCCACCCATTTTCCTACTGGTTATACTTGCTGCAAACCAGAGGACCCTCGAGTAAGCAATGTCAAAGCTTTCACCTAACTCAGAAGCGGATTACAAACTCTGTTGCAACTTTTATTGGCAAAGATTTTCATCCGTTCTCAGGCATTGAGAACCAGGGCTTTCGCGCTATGTTGGACACTTTGGAGCCGACATACAGTGTCCCGTCTCAAAGATATTTTACTGACACAGCGTAATCGTAATCGAATCAAATCGTGAGGTGCCTAGAGATTCCCACCCCTAGTGTGTTAGACAGCATTCTGATAAGAATCAGACTAGTAAAGGTCAAAGAAGCTGAAAGACCAGCAGACTACAGTCCCTAAGAGACTGGTTTCTCAGAAACATTATAGATGGGAGGAATTGTGAGACCTCCACATGAGCTCACTGTGCAAGAGTGTATAGGTGGCTAATAGCATTATTTAGAGAAGGCTTGGATTTTAGGATATTTTAGGGTATGAATTTTGCATTCCATGTGCCAATGGGCTGTTCTATGCAAAGTAAAACTGACCTTTTATCTCAAATAATGGTAGTGTTAACGCAATGCTAAAGCAAGGCTTAACAATGCATTTCATTACAGGATTTCATCAAACACTAAGCTCATCTGGGTATTCAGGGCTCAAAACAATGCCACTAATTTCTGCTCTGCTCAATGATCCCATAAGCCCTCTAAAAAGACTGAAAAAAAGCTCCTTGACAGCCAGGGAAAACAATATGCATTTGAACAATCATTGAAAACCTAATTTAATGTACACATAGTTAACATAATACAACATAAAGCATAGCACAACTGACTTGAAAGTGGAATTGCACTAATTTTTCAACATTTCTGAATAATTCAATTGTTGAGATGTAAACAAAGTAGAGATGAAACGATATTAAAATTTCATATCACGATTATCATGACCAAAATTATCACGATTATCGCGATATTGTTCAAATGTGTTGAAAAGTAAAATAAATAAATAAACAAATAAATAAATACTGATACCCAAAACTGAAACTTGTTTCACCAACTTTTATATTAACACAAATAGAACTGGCAGCAATATGCACTTTTTTGTTTGAATAAACATTAAAAAAATATAGTCCGCGAGTTCGATCCCTGGTGATGCTACAGCCATCCGTAGCCGGGAGTCCGAGAGAGCACAATTGGCCTCGCTCTCTCTGGGTGGGTAGGATGGCCCCTCCTTCTCCCCCCATCACTCAGCGCGATGCTAGTCAGCGCAGGCGTCTGTTAGCTGACGTAACAGATCTGGCGGTTGGCGCTTTCCTCCGAGCGCGTTCGGCTGTCCAGTGACGTTGCGTGAGCGGCAGCTCGAAAAGAAGCGGTGGTTGGCTTCACAGGTCTCGGAGGAAGCCTGTGCTGCCTTCACCCTCCTAGCGTTGATAGCATCGTGTGATTGGGGGAGTCCTAACTAGCGGGTGGAATTGGAGACGACTAAATTGGGGAGAAAACCGGGTAAAAATTAAAAAAAAATATATATATATAGTCAATGCATTTGTAGTATTACTGTTGTATTACTTACAATACTTGTAATACTATGTAAACAAAAGAATAGCAAATGTATTATTATTATTACTGTTATTATTATTATTATTATTATTATTATTATTATGAGGTGGGTCTTAATGGAAAATGACTACTTCTAAAAAGTGTTGCACTCGGGGGATCTCTGTCCTGACTGCAATTGCAGCATTATTGTGCCGTTGTGGCGCTGTACCCCTAATCCATCCAGTGCACTAAGAAAAACAGCCAAAATCACAGAGAAACTGCGTGACCGTGCTGTGAGCTGCAGACAGTGTAGAACTCATACAGCGTGTCTTCACCTGTGGAGCTGCTTCTCTAAAAGCATTTGAAACTAAAACATAACTTAAAATTAAACACTCCTAAAGTTTAATCTCTGAAACTCTGCTTTTCCTAAAATCAGCACACAGCGTTTACTCGCGCGAGGTCCAGTCTCAAAGCACACTATCTTCCCTATGTAGTGCACTTCGTGGATCATGAAATAGCAAATCCTTCACCCAAAGAGTGCGTGAAATGTTCACAATAACAATATATTAACAATAGGTTACAAATTCCCTATTTAAAACTCAACTGCTTGTTAATGATGATCGTGTTTGTTTGAACAGTAGCGCACTATGTAGGGGACACTGAGTGATTTGAGACAGTGTTATTCTCCTCTCAGACAGTAAACACTGCAAGCAAGACGAGAAAAGGGAGCTGCGCAGATTGAACTTCTGCAGCGTCTCGTTCAGGAGCTTGTGTGACTGTAAACTCAGAGCTCATTTTGGGGACTCTGCTCCACAGAAATGTGTTAAAAGCTTTAGTTTCGATTCACAGTTGATTCACCGATTGTTTTTATTTATTTATTTTTTTATTTATTTATTTATTTTTGACGCTAAAAGCTTCATTTTATATTATTAACGAACCATAAGCATAAGTTAAACCACACAAACCATGACATCTCTTCTATTTCGAAGTCCCCACGGACTTCTACGTTAAAGTTAACCTTGCATTCTCTAAAGTAGCGGGTGGTGGTCGCGAAGATGACTCGTAAGGTTTGATGTGTTGCCCCCTTTCGCCGCTATTTTCTTTCGGTCTGTTCTGCAGACAGGGTGGTCATCTGCAGACAGGGTGGTCATCTTCAATTAACTTTCCTTCTGCATCCTTATAAAACCCAAAACATGACCAAACGTCAGACTTGGTCTTCTTAGAAGGCTGAAATATCTCCGAATCTCTGTCACTACATTCCGCTATATTCTCCCCTCTCTCCCTTTCCCTCTCTCTCTCTCTCTCTCTCCCCCTTCCCCTCTACACACACACACACACACACACACAGAGAGCTGCATCTGAGAGAATGATTCTGCCTTTGTTTGACTCTGTACAGCGAGTTTTTCACACCGCGGTAATCGACCGCGGTTTTAACGATACTTTAAAGTTCAAACGATACTACTAACCGTCATTAATTTTACCGCGGTTTACCGTGAAACCGGTAACCGTTTCATCTCTAAAACAAAGTCTTTTAAAGTGGTTTTCTGTGAAATGGTGTACTGCTGAGAAATATACTGACTTGGAAATCTTTACAGAGTTGCTGATAAGAACCAGGGGTCATGACATCTGTAATGCAAATATATTCAAAATCTAAAATGACAAGTAAACCTCCACATTCCTTTTTATGTTTTTATTTCTGCAAAATTCAATCCTTGAGATGTCAACTTAAAGCTAGAGTGGTTTGATGTGAAATGTGAAAGAATTTGTTTAATTTTATGTTTAATGTAACTTATACTAGCCTTAACGTTTCGCAGCTATAACTAGGTGAAGAGTCTGTATGCTTTGTGTACTGGACTTTTTATTCCTAGCTCATTAACAAACGTATATATATATAGGAAGAGCGAGAGAAGGGGAGACAGCACTTACCATTCAGTCCGCTCGGGATACTTCTGTAATGATGGGGAGTAGAAAGATCATCCACAGACCTCCGCATGGTGCCCATTTTGATCTCCACTGCCTTGTTCATGTGGTTATGGTGATGATCTGGGCTACCTGCGCTTCCGGCACTAGAGGTGCTGCTACCATCCCCAACATCTCGCACAGTACCAGAGCCTCCGTTCAGATTGGATAGGCTGGACTGGCTGTCGATAGAACTCCTGGAGCCGGCTCCGTTCCTCTCTTCTTCCAACATGAGGATGATCTCCTTCAAATCCGTGTTTTCGCGCACCAAAGTTTCCTGGTTGGCCTCCAGCCTATTAAGCTTCTGCTGGTACGTGCCCACCTCCTTAAACAGAGCGCTGGCCGGGTACCTGCCAAACCGCTGCCACTCCCGCAACAGCTTCTTGCCCTTTTCCTGCCGTCGTCCAAAAAGCAGCAGAGTTCCCGGAGCTCATGGTTGTCGTGCTGCAGCTTCTGGTTGACCTCCTTCAGACTGCGGATCTCGTGGAGGTGCACCTGCAGCCTACGATTCACGTTCCTCATCATGTTCCCATGCTCCATCATCAAGTTTATTTTCTCGCCGTCCACCTTCCTAAGCCTTTTGACCAACTCATCCTTGGTCCATCTCTGCAGACCCTCGTCAGAAACCTTACTAAGGTCCTTGTTTGGCTCGTCGGGGAAATTTGCCATCGCAGATCACAAATATGTAAGTGTAGCAATTTCATTAAGCGAGATAGGCATGCTTTAGCTCTTTCATTCTCAAACAGCATGTTGATAAACAACCCAGTAATGCATTGGCGCTGCCTTTTTAAAAGGGATTTTCAGTGGATCGGGTTTAAACAACACACGAGGGCAAGCATGTAATGCAACATTTTCCGACAAATCAAACTAGCACCTGTTTGTACGTACGTGTCTGTCACTAAAGAAGCTTCCTGAAAATCCCACAGTTCAAGCGACTTTCATGTTGAGCACCGTAGGACATCGCTATAGTAATGCACAACCTAAGCGTTCTGGAAATGCGTTCCGAAAGACTATCGAAAATTGTGATACTCAGAAACGCTTGAAAAATGGTCAGCTAACAAGTCGGCTGCAATGTGAGCAAGACGAAAGAATGGTGAACAGGTAGCAAAGGCAAAGACACGAAGAGAAGCCCAGTGGAAATCAGACTGCCCTCTTAAAGAAACAGCGCACACAGTTGGGTTTATCAAACGCAGCCATTACAGACATAAGTTTTATCTGTCAGGAGGCCAACTGTTCGTGTGAAATCTGTGAGGGATCTTAGCTAATCAATCAATAATCTGTCTAGCTAATGTTTTTATAGATAAACATTATATAATGCGACCTAGTAGACTATGTGGGTGGCCTACTACAGTGTTTCCCAGCCCTGTTCCTGGAGGCCCACTGCCTTCACATTTTAGTATTTTTCCTGTTGAGAAACACTAGTCTATTAGAATCAAGACTGGTAGGTAAGAACAGAATTTAATAAATAGTATTTAAGTAAATAAATAAATAAACAAGCAAAGAGTGTCACACCATTTGATGTAATACATTTGGGTGGAAAATCTTTGCTTTTAGTCTGTATTAATTAAGTTTGTCTTTAACACAAACCTTTTATGTATACATAAAAACGTATAAGTGAAAAATGTATTTATATGTATTTTTGGAATATGGGCATTTTTACATGTTAATATTGACAGTCTTTGAAGCCACATCTCAAGTGTTACTAAATAAAAGTTTTAATTTTAACATCTAACCTTGACGTTTACATGTATCAACTTAATATGAAAACATTTGTTTTTAATTTTAGCATTTAATTTTCATTTTTATTTTAAAGCACAATTTGTGCCCTCCCACATAACTTTATTTAGCCATAAAAATAGTATAGTACCACATTAAGCGGCATGATGAAGAGTAAGTGACATCATTTAAGTGTTCAGGGGAGCCAAATTCAAGAGCTGGTGAGTTTTGCTTTTATTCTACATTGATAATTTGTTGTCCTCTGCATTCTTAACAGGGCTCGTCAAGCAAAACATGTCCATCCCATCACACTAAATGTATAGAGGACAGTTTTTTTGTCATTTTTTATGATATTCAGAAAAAACATTGTGTAATTTTCTGAAACTAATGTTAAAAGGTTTAACCTTGATAGCAGGGAGTATGGCAGTCTGTTTAGATTGAAATACTGCACCCTGTCACATTGCTTCTGTCACAAGTACGGTGTGATGGGGTTGTACTTCTCAATGTTATTAGACACAAAAAATAAAATATGTATTTTTTGTTACGCACAATATGTAATTGAAACTATAAAAGACAAAAACTGTGATCATGTATTTGCATAATATCATTTTTTTAAATGATGCACATGCATGATTCACATGTTTAGACACCTAAAACCTGGATGTATTAGGAAATGCAGGCCCATATTCACTGCAGAAGGGAAAGGGTGCAGCTTAAGGTGATGAAGTTGTTAGAAAAATGGCAGATGATCAGGTAAACAAGCATTTAAAGGTAAGGAGGTCAAACAACAATTTGGTGTTTAGACATGAAATTTTCATTATGTCTCAATCTCAGAATTATGAATCAGACTATTTCCAACTAAAAGGCAGAGCCTTTATGACATTTTTATCTATGTCATAAACCAGACATGTTGACAGAGAGTCAAATCACATGTTCAGTAATTTCTCTAAGTGATGGCATTTTTCTGATAATTTTAGTGCACAGTTTAACTGATTGGAAGAAAACAAAACATCAGATGTAATATGTGCCGAACTTTAGCATAGGCCACATTTTATGTTTTAATTATATATATTTTTCCAGCATTGTAAATTCAGCAAACAAACCATAATTGTGTATTGAAGTGTGCATGAGTTTGTTCTCTGTAGCGTTAACCTGGGGTGTATGACTGTATGCAGGACAAATGGAGACATCCTTGCAACTTCAAAAGGCAAAAACTTTGCAAGGGACTGAAGGAGGTCTGTGGGACAAAGGGTGGGAAAAGTAGGATTAGGGTCCCACAATCACAGAAGGATAAGCGGTTTAGATGATGGATGGATGGATGGTCCCACAATGATACTCATATCTGTGTCAGCAGATAATTGCTTTAAACACAGATTTTAAATTTGACTAATATTGTAAACCGATATTTGACTGCACATTTATTGCTCTCATGACAAAGCAGAATGTTTGGGCAACACTGGGCTACTACACTAAGATGTCTCAATTTTATTTGTTTTACTGTTTTGGCATCAATGTGGGCACTGATAGAAATGAAAAATATTGAATAATGGCATCAGCCCTAGAATTCCTATGTCAGTGCATCCCTATAAGACCTATACATCTTGTCACGCATAGTTGGCCACTATGGATGTCAGTGGGATTTGTTAGTGTCATTTTGAAGTATCATGAGACACTATTGGACAGTGCCACATATGCTTAAGCCTATTCAACTGCAGATTTTAACACATATTTATGCACATTATGAATCAGTCTGCTTTGGTAATTAAACTGTCGTATGGAATGTGCTTTGGAAATAAAATTATTATAACTACTGAGCACATAGTTATCCTAACAAAAACCCTTACTGCAGTACACTGCGCCAGTTTAAAAAAAAAATACGTAGACGGATAACCCGCGTGGGAACGTCTTGCAATGTAGTGGGAGTGGTCGCTATGTTCCTTGAAGTGGGTGTGTCTTGTAGTGGGCGTTCTTTATAGTCGGCGTACAGACAGACTTTCAAATTATGTTTGAATGCGTCACATATGTGCACGCGACGTGACGCAATTATTTTGGCAATAGGAAGTACTGTAGCACTCACTGTTTGACAGCGAATTTATTGTGTTATTGAGTTTTGAGTTATGAGAGTTATATTGCATTTATTTAATTTTATCATTGTCTCATACTTCTTCTCACAACAGCTTGCAATATATATATATATATATATATGTATATATATATATATATATATATATATATATATATATATATATATATGTGTGTGTGTGTGTGTGTGTGTGTGTGTGTGTGTGTTAAAAACTAAAACTGAAGCTAAATAAAAACCAAACTAACTTTTCGCTATTCTTAGTGAATCGGCTCGACAGCATGTGTATCATCATACCACGGATTATATATATATATATAAGGTAAACCTTAATGAATCTTCGCTGATCATACGACTTTAGAAACTGTTTCCACTACAAGAAACAGCACTTGAAAGCAGCCATCCTGTGAATGCGAAATATTGCCATTTGATGGTGCATGTCGCATTCAAGTGGACAGCACGTATTGACATGCAAATGTACTTTGAACAGGAAACGGTAAAATAGGACAAAAAAAATTCTTGTTAACAGTCATTCGGAAACGAGGTATTGAGAAACCGCTGCTTCAAATAAAAAAAATCTTAGTGAGCCAGTGACTCCGTACCACAATCGCAAATAGACATAGCTGAATCAAAGCAATATTCCTTTACATAATATGTTGATCTCGTCGTGTATTCATGTTTACTGGCAAACATTTATGAAGAATTGTGTACGAAAAAGTGCGTATTACCTATAAAAACTCTCATGTAGGATTTGTCCAGCAGCTGGCTCCATAGCTCAGTGGTTAGAGCACTGGTCTTGTAAACCAGGGGTCGCGAGTTCGATCCTCGCTGGGGCCTAGTAACACTTTTACATCACTAAATCTAAAAAATCTGACTTAAACATTAGTGAACAGTTAACAAGAATAGACAATAATAACGATCAGAATAAAAGAAAGTCACTTTTTTGTATGTTTTATTCATTGAAAGCCATACAGAAGCAAAATCCTAAAGACACTTGGGCAAAAAGGCACTTATTAATGTAATACAACACTAGATCAGTAGTCAGTGATACAGATGGCAGTAAAAAAATGGTAACACTGCCATCTTATGGTTATACTTATAGCTCCTATGAATATTATAGATCTCATTAATATTGCTTCTGAAGCACACATTCAGAAGACATTCCCTAGGTTAATAGTAAATAGGCACATATTATTGCATAGTGTTTCAAAGGGTAAGTATAGCATATTGTTTATCTTCAGTAAGCCAAATACTTAATTCTTGCCCTGAGAACAATGTTTGATCTTGCATAGCACTCCACTCTGAGGGCGAAGAGTTCCTGTATCCTTTATATTGAAAGACTGTCCAGGCACAAGACTGAACTCAAACCTTTGAAGAATTTTTGCAAGCACAACTTTAGCCTCCATCTGAAAAGAAACACATTTGAGAGTTTAGACAGTGTAAAAGCGTTTGTTTGATTTTATTGTTCATGTAACTATTTGGTTTCTACTGGATAATGACAATATGCATACATAAAATCATGCGAAGAAGTAAATACACCCCATGAAAAGGTTCGACTTGTTTAACATGTTTAGACATATAGATGTCTAGTCTTAATTTCTGTGGATGTCAAAGTGCATGCACCTACCATTAGAAACAGACTGCACAAATATGACTTACCTCTAAAATCATGTACGTGCTGTACATGCAAGAAAGCCCTTTGCACAGAATACTGCACAGAAATTCTGCATGGAGGAATGTCTCCCAATAGAAGTCAGAAACTGGTAGAGGGCTATAGGAAACACCTACATAAGGTTGTTTCTACCAAAGAGGGAAGTACCAGTTACAGAAGCCGGGGGTGCACTTACTTTTTCAGAAAATAATCACTTAATTATTTTTTAAATAAATGGTTGCAAAGTCAAATATACTTTCTTTTCTGTTCTATTACATAATATCTATCTATATATACACTGTTTACCTGAAGACCAAATTCTCACTTGTGAAAAAATCTGCCCAAGACAGGACCGTGGACCAAGGGCAAATGGGTAGTAGCAGAAATATGGTCTTCACAAAAAGAACACAAATTCATATATAATAAGTTTTACAAGACCATTTCCAAATGCTATTTATGGCTTAGATTTAAACCATTTTTTGTTGTGGTGCCTTTAAGACTGATATATGTAAATGAACTCTCTTCTGATTGGCTGTCCTGTATTGTGCTTGATTCAAAAGGCAGTTTGGGCTGAAACGCGTTTTATAAATTCAGTGTGCTAAACTGCTATAGTCGGTAAATGTGTTGGCTTTCATGACATCACGAAAACACAAAAATCAAAACACAGCAGCATTGTTTCCATATATGGACCACAATACTTTATTTAATGTAAAAAATGTGAATATAAGCATTATTAAGCATAGTCTGGTGCTAGGTGTACTTTCAAACTGAAGGACACTCACAATAAGTTCACATCCTGCTGGGACTGCACATACACTGATAACAGTGCCATCATGGAGCCAGCGAGATGTGCCTGGTGCAGTGGGGTACAGGCGGAGTGTTTCCTTTAAGACCTATAGCACATACATCAGGAATAACTACATCTAATAGTATAACATACACCATCCAACGACTTCATTACGTACATCTCCTATTTCTACAGTCATTGTCCATTTTATCGGCTAAACGTACCAAATAGGTGCATGTTGCAGTTCTACATTTACAGACTGTAGTCTATCTGTTTCTCTGCATACTTTGTTAGCCCCCTTTTACCCTGTTCTTCAAGGGTCAGGACCCCAACAGGCCCAGGTATTATTTGGGTGGTGGATCATTCTCAGCACAACTGGACAATAAGTGTAGGCACAAGGAGGTGTGCTTAATGAAGTAGCCAGTCGGTGTATAACAAATCAATACTGAGTGACCCCAGAAAATATCTGTAACCAGAATATGCTTTCAAATGTTTTGTTGACTAACCTGGGAAAAGTTAGTCAGTTTTCCAAGATCATCAAACAGAATTTCTTGTTTTGTTCCAAGAACCTCATCCACCTCCTCTTTAGCCCTGACGGTTAAAAACATAACTCTTATACAGCTATTACCAACAGCTGGAATTACCATTGCACATGCTCACTAAAATGTCTAACCTCAGAAAGCTTAAAAATGTGAAACTTATTAAATGACTTAGGATTATTTAATGGACACTTCTTATTTTACCTTTTTAATATTTTTGGGTGCTTCCCTAGCTCCATGATGGCAAATGAAAGCTGATTGGCTGTTGTTTCCTGTCCTAAAAAATAACAAGAATAATAAAAACAGCTAGTGTTTGTAAAGAAGTGTGGTGAAGTTTCTTACACAGGCCAACCCACTTTTGTCACTGTCGCACCCAAAATAACTGCCTAAGTGTGCATTAAATATTAAAATCTTAATAATAAATAAACCAAAAACACAAGCAAAAATGCACTTGCTAAATATGTGACATTTGAAATACCATTTTTTGCACTGACCAATCAAATTTTAGTTTAACCATTTGCTAACCTTTTCAAACTCTGAATAGGATAACTGCTAATAATAGAAAAAAAAAAAAACTCTTTCAAGACTATCATGGCTGCATGGACTGGAAGCATGAAAATGGCTTATTCAAAGTACGAAAGTAACCAATCACACCATATAACATTATGTCAATACAATAACAATACAAACCAATATCTATGAAAGAGGCTCATTAAATTGGTCATAAATATTGGAATAATAGAGAGAAACTGCAAGTATATTGAAGTTTTTTAAATTACATAATTTGTTTCTTTGTGCAAAATGAGTATAATTTTTTTCTGAGTTCAGAGTTTCATATGTCTGAGTTTATCCCTGTTCTGAGGTCAATGCTTTGCAGACATTTCAAAGTGAGTGTTACTACTTTACCCACCCACCTCCAACCACCCACTATTTTGTCCTCTACATTCAAAACTGCAGTCCTTGCACTGCCATAAGAACACATTTCACTTTTAGAAAGAAAGAAAAACAGGACTTGTTTGACAACTAAGCTGAAAATGTCCCTGCAGGAGTATTGGGAGGGTTACTAAGTAACATATTTAATTTTTACTATGAGATCAAAACAAACATAAAATAAAACCCGCAATAAAGTCACAAAATTGTCAAGCATCAATTCATGGTTTTCCTCATTATTAGCCTTAAGTTCCTCTGCAAGAAATGAAATTTAAAAAAATCTCATAATACAATAACAAACGTATTGTAATGTAACAAGATGCTGAACTGATGCTTAATTTTCCTTGATTTGAAGGGGACTCTAAAAGACTGCAATATCTTTTGACTACTTCTACTACTTAAAAAGAAACAGCTGTGTACAAATGAGGATGGAAAATAATCTGGGACAGGGTTGGTTCAGTGGCACTCATTCACCAGCCGTTTTGAGCATCTGGGTAAGAACGTCCTTGGGGACATCATCGCCATTTTCCACAGCACTTTTCCTCTGATGTATCCACTGGGATCCAGTTGTACGTAGAAGTTCAACAGCATCTTTAATCTCCTGCACTTTCTTTTTGTTCCTAGGGAAGAGCTGTGAACAAACAAAATGCCCTTACCATTTACCTGGATTACAGAGAGGCATTCTTACATAATAATCATTGTAAGAACTGCAAATCTGTGAAAGGTGAGGATGTTCGCACTGTGAAGAATGGATCTCTAACATAGTGAACCATGCCCTGCAAACAAAGTTCTATGGCACTTGGGAAGGGGGAGTTGTAATTCTTCAGCAAGTCCACATCAACCCCAAAAGCCACCTGTGGAATAAAGGCAGAGAAAAATTAACTCATAATTATTGTGGGGAACAACTGCCTGCATGATGATGTACCTCGCTGAGGGTAAATATTATGTTATTTGTTTGCCTTGTAGCCTTACAACCTAATCTTATCCAGACATAACAGAAACAAAAACCTGATTCAAGATAAACTATTCCAGCTGTGGTAGAATATTTAGTACTGTCACCACTCTATTGAAAACATACCAGTGTTCCAAATCTAACATGTTGGATCAAGAAAATTGCCTATCAAGTCCTTTTATCTCCACTGTGGACAGCTCTTAAATCACTGACATATTATCAGGAGTTTGGAAGATAGAGAGCAGAGAACATCAAAACCTTGCAAATAACATCCAGTGTGACACAACACACAATTGACCAAGTGGCGTATGTTGGCAGTCATCCGCTTTTCTGCTATCTCCTCCAGCCTCTCCATAAGACACTCAGCCCTCTCGTTGAAGGTGCCCATTAAACCTTGTAGGTAACTGTCAAGAGTTAGAAGAGGAGTTGTGTACTTCTGCCTTCTACAACCTTTCAGCCTCTCCTAAACAGATGAGTGACAAAGCATAAATTACGAGCTGCTGAAAGCAGGGTCCATGATTCTGAGCTGCTTGTACCAGATGTCATGGTTCATAGCAGTCACCAGTCCATTTCCCAGGAATCTGTAGATATGCCAAGAAATGTGACAGATGTTCACCCAACTCAGCTGAGTTCAAGCTGAGGTAAAGTTTGAGCTGCAGTTATCAGCAAGTGTTTTTTTTTTTTTTTGCAGTGAACTTCTTGAACTTGACAACAAGAGTCAAAATAGATCTACTTAAGTAATTGCTGTGTTTGCAAGGCCCTTTCATAAGTCATGTGTAATGCTTCCTCAGATATGCATCACTGGGAAAGGGGATCCCTCCCCTCAGTGGAAACATACAAATTGCTACGTCTTGCATAGAGAAGCGTAGGTTGTATAGACGTACATTGCTCATCGCTTCATTCCACCAACAAAGAGCATCTCTCAAAATGCAATCAAGCATTTTTATTTGTGCGCAAAGGCTTTAAACAAGACTGGAAAACAACTGAACACAGCCTTCTCTGAAGGTGAGTATGGTTAATCAAAGTGACTGCTGAGTCCTTTTGTCATACTGAAGTAAATTAGAGTGGATATTTACCGCTAATGAGCTCAGAATTAATGTGAATCTTTCACTCTATTTACAATCCTGCTCAAGTCTTCCAGAGTGCTGAGCAAAAAATGTGCTATTGACTGGCTCATGATATCCATGAAGGCCTACTTATAGATCAACATCAGGGTTAAAGATGAGTAATCTTCATATTACTGTTATGTATGTACTCTAGACTCGGCAAATGAATACTTGCTACTTCTGAGACTTTTGTCAGTGAAACCAGAGCTTATTTATCTAAAGTGTAAGATATGAAGAAGCTTACCTTCTTCCAAACAAGCTGAACAGACGTTTGTAGACAAAAAGATCTTTGGAATACTTGGGGGACATTAAAAACTCCTGCAGTACCAAAACAAAGAAATTGATTTTATCTATTTTTGTGATGTTTTATAAGACAGGTTAACTGTAACTGCACAGCATAATATATACCTTTGTAGCCTCCGGGCAGCTGACCACTAGTGCCACACCATGAAAGCTGTTAATTCTGTAGACCGGGCCGTACGTTTCAGCCCTGTAAACAAATCAGTTTGAGTTTCTGAAACCACAAACCACAAAGTGGCTTTAATGAGGTCAGACTGTAGTTCATAGTACGATTTTGCCTTTTCAAAGCTGAACAGCTCTGCTTGTGGCTGCGCATGTGTGTTTGAGAGAGAAAGAGACAGACGGGGAAGGGGAAAACGAGGGGGCAGAGACTGATTTTCTGTATTTCAGAAACTCAATATATATGACAGTTATACTAGTTATGTGCAAGATGGACACGAACGATAACATAATTTTAGTTGAATTTGTACCTGTTATATAAGCTCTTGGTGGATATAAGATAAAAGAAAGTGCATTAGATGAACAGGGCCTTACCGTTCGAGGAATTTGTCGTGTACGACACGCTCCGAATTCGTTTCTCTCAGAAAAGTCGGTATATGGCTAAGCAAAAAAATAAGAAAACACGACATTATATTAGCCTTTAGAGGACTAACAGTAGCCCGAATTACTTCTCACAAACAAGCCAACTACGCCTCTATAGTTTCTATTCCAGGCAATATTAGTAAAGAATATTAATTACTACATACAGAACAAATTTTCTTACTTGTCCCTTGGAGGTCCGGGAATGTGGTCATATTTCTTGTGAATATGTCTCACATAAAGACAATATCCAACAAATGCAATTAAAGCAGTGCAGAGCAGGTAGACAGTCAGGAGAACTGCCCATTCCAAAATTGTCTGATACGTCACCATACTCGTTGTGCTAAGACGTTTCAGAATTGTTGTAATCTCCCGATGGCATGGTCTTAAACAGTGTGTTAAAGGGGAGTTTTACTGGTACAGGCAACTCGTCAAAAATGTCTGGACTTCCGGGTATCAGAACAATGGCCTGCAGTGTTTATTGGGTAACAGTCATTTAGACGACAGATGGCGCTGCTTTTATACTCGCTCTGTGCTCCCCAGTCAGTCAAAGTGACCTTTTATTAATTTGTACAGGTCTAAGATTATTTGGTGACACATAAAGGTTATTGGCCGCACTCACGTCAACTTGTTGCTGTACCTCATCTAGGTATTATGGTTGTGTACACCTTGCTAATTCTAATCCTCGCAAATGTTCTTCTGGCCATTAAAGGGGAATTCTGTATTTTTTCTGCTTAATTAAATGGTTAAGCTGTATACAAAGTCAATCAATATGGTCTGATGTGAAATGCACCATTCGAGAAACATTTACCAAGCCAGAATTCTTCACAGCAAGGGTAATAGCAGCCAGACATCCAATGTGTTTAATGCCTCTTAAAGCTACCTCACACAAAACTAACATAGATGGTTACAAATATGCTGCCTCATGCCTATGACATACCTGTCCAGGGTGTTTCCTGCCTTCGCCCAGTGTCCGCTGGGATAGACTCCAGCAGAAAATTTGTGTGTGTGCGTGCCTATGACATTGTATTATGATAGTTTAAAGATTTTATCCTATCATGGCAGAGAGATAAACTACCCACATGAAAACCATTTTTTCCTTTTTACCTTTGTCAACATTGCATATAAAACTACACATTACATATAAAAAGTACTAGTCATTTTGGAAAGCAAATATAATGGCTATGTTTTTAAAACATTAAGATCCCTGGTTCCTATCTGAAGTCTGTTACCCACCTTGAGCACAGTGGGGCTTCACAGTGGGGTTCAGGGAATTTTCTTGTACTATCTTAGACTTGGGCTTGGGTGATTTTTTTATGCTAAACATAGTCTGTTTTGATTAGGCTTAATTTTCTTCTGTTTTTTTGTCATTTAAAGTTACACCAAAGGAGAAAGCAAACTTAATAAATTATTTAGTTTTTATATATTTTGACATCTTCAGTCAAAACAGTCTAAAGCACCCAGTAAATGGCATACATTGTAGTTAACTTTCAGGTCCTGGATACCATGTGTAAAGCACTACAAAGAATATATAAGTAAGGTTCTTATTTTATTTTTATGCTCTGTTTAATGGAATAGAATATTATCTTGAATATAATTATCATTATCTATCAATACTGATAAAACAATATAACAATGTGATATGGTGTATGCCATATTTCTTAACTCAATATTAATTTCCTACCCATATTCTGATTTATGTGTTACTTAGATTAAACTGAATCCTTCAGAGCTGTATGTCATGACAGGGTTGGTTTAAAACTTTTAAGGTCAAAGGGGAATCCTGCACTGAAATTGTCTTGAGACTATGGTCTTTCATTACATTAACCTTAGACTTTCTAATCCTTCTTTAATCCTGGCCTAAGAACATGCTAACAGACATGAATATATACAGAGAGAGGTATGCATATAACCAGGAAATGCCTTCATAGAAGTCTTGTATGGTAGAAAGTGGGCCAACTCCCAGTTGCTAACCAGTATTATAATGTACGTTTGGGCTACTACAACCTCAATTCCAAAAAAATTGGGACGCTGTGTAATGTAATGTAAATGTAAATAATGTAAATAAAAACAGAATGCAATGATTTGACCCAAATTTTATTCACAATAGAACACAGAACACATATCAGATGTTGAAAGTGAGACATTTTACCATTTCATGAAAAACATTAACTCATTTAGAACTTGATGGCAGCAATGCATGTCAAAAAAGTTGGGACAGGGGCAACAAAAGGCTGGAAAAGTAAGTGGTACTAATAAAAAACAGCTGGAGGAGCAACTTGCCAACTAACTCACATGACTTGGTACAAAAAGCAGAGGTTCACCAATTACAAAAACTACTACAGTACATACCCTGCAGGCACAGGACGTCAATTTGCCGTCAGACAGACGTTGGACTCCAACGTTGGACAGACGTTGAGTTTTGGTTGAAAATGAAAATCGGGCTGACGCCAAAACCCAACGTTGGCTTGACGTCAACCCTCCGACGTTGGACAGACGTTGAATTTTGGTTGAAAATGAAAATCGGGCTGACGCCAAAACCCAACGTTGGCTTGACGTCAACTCCCGACGTTGGACAGACGTTGAATTTTGGTTGAAAATGAAAATCGGGCTGACGCCAAAACCCAACGTTGGCTTGACGTCAACTCCCGACGTGGGACAGAGGTTGAATTTTGGTTGAAAATGAAAATCGGGCTGACGCCAAAACCCAACGTTGGCTTGACGTCAACCCTCTGACGTTGGACAGAGCCAAAACCCAACGTTGGCTTGACGTCAACCCTCTGACGTTGGACAGACGTTGAATTTTGGTTGAAAATGAAAATCGGGCTGACGCCAAAACCCAACGTTGGCTTGACGTCAACCCTCTGACGTTGAATTTTGGTTGAAAATGAAAATCGGGCTGACGCCAAAACCCAACGTTGGCTTGACGTCAACTCCCGACGTTGGCCAGAGGTTGAGTTTTCGTTGAAAATGAAAATCGGGCTGACGCCAAAACCCAACGTTGGCTTGACGTCAATCCCCGACGTTGGACAGACGTTGAATTTTAGTTGAAAATGAAAATCGGGCTGACGCCAAAACCCAACGTTGGCTTGACGTCAACTCCCGACGTTGGACAGAGGTTGAATTTTGGTTGCAAATGAAAAATCAGGCTGATGTCAAAACCCAGCGTTGGCTGCGCATCAACCTCCAACGTCGGACAGAGCATTTGGGTGCCTTGCTCAAGTGCACTACAGTTGCCAATAGGAAGAGTCTGGGATTGAACTGCCAACCCTGCAATTAGTGAACAACCCACTCTACCACCTGTGCCATGACTGCCCCATCCTAGCTGTGGCCACCTTAACGCCTTTCTGAAAGTCACCTGAAAAAAAATAAAATAAAAAAATTAAACACACACAAACAACAACAAAAACAACAACAACAAAAACAACAACAAAAAACACAAAGCAACAACTCCTTGAAAACACGTCTTTTTCAAGCTGTTCGGACTGACGTCAAAACCCAACGTTCTTCAGCGACTTGAATTTAACCTAACTTCAACCATGAATTCATGCTTACATATTATATTCATTATATCATATATTCATAATTGTTCTCAAAATAAGACAGCTGACAAAAAAGTACCAATAAAACATTTGCTTATTTATTTTAGTAAGACAACTAAAGACAACATTTTTCAAAGAAACAGAAAAAAAACATTGTTAAATTGGATACATATTGTGCTCCTAACTGTTTTGGGTTGGACGTGTAGCCTCCACTGCCAAACTGTCCAGGGGCTTGTTAAAGGTGGTCTGCCACGGCACAGGAAATATGTTCTGATCCTTGCTGTACCACTTTTTGACAGAAGCTGCAATGACAAAGAAAAACTAATCAGTCTTTGTCTAATGATGATTACAGACTACAATCAGAGGAGCCAATTAAAAAAAAACAAACATTGTAATAGACCATGACATAGGGTGCAGGTAAGTAATTAGCCTAAGCTAGGGCTGCTTATATGCAATGCAGAAAATTAGGATTATTAACGGCCTATTAAGATGGTACTCGTAACTACACACTCAAATGCTCTTAAAAGTTGAATTGGAAATCAAAACGCATTTTTTTTTTCTTAACGTGACATATTTCCGAGTGAAACAGACTACTTGGGTGGGAAATAACTGTGGGAAAACTGTTGTCATTTCTGTAATATGATTCATTAACTGCTGAAAGCTTTATTTTAAGGGTTTTTTTTTACTTTCAAATACATAGACGAGGCGAAATGCTAGGTAGCAGGCTAGCCTGTTAGCATCCATTTTGCTCTCGCTTTTGTTAGACTTTCATGACAAAAGCAGAAAAAAAAAAACCTTGACATCTTTTTCCTGAAGTTTAACAACATTTGAGCAAGTGATGGACTGTGTATGTCTGTGTAACTGTGCATGTCACTCCTTTACCAGCTAATTTCTATATTTATATCACCAGTTAAAATATATAAATATATTTATATATTTCATGTTCACTGATATACATCACATATTACACGAGCAGCCCCCCACATATCACTGTATTGAAAATTTCCCAAAAATTACATTTTTAAGCAAAACTGTTCAGTTTTGTTATCTTGTGGGCCTTCCTGCTTTCTAGTGATAAACAGGTGGGTCTTGAGGTGGACAAGGTTGAGAACCCCCGCATTACAATACTTAAGAAAGTAATGTATTTAGAAAACATTTGGAATACATACACATTCTGAGAAAACCTCTGCAGTACTTTTTATTTCACACTGTTCCTTACTCTTACTGGTTGGCAGTAAATGTAATTATGTTAATGTTTCATGAAAAAATTAAATTATTCAAATGAATGCAAAAATGATTATAAAAATTCCCAACCTTATTTTGGCTCTCATGGCCTGTTTCAGTCCACTATTGCTCTTATAATCATGCTACCCTTTCACCAAAAACTTGCCATATCCCAATAATAAAATCTATTGTATTGCTAATTTGACAGTAACGTGGGTAGCTGTATGATTTTTAGTTAATAATGTTATATGTAACATGGCCAAATGCATGCAGAAGTCCAGTACAACACTATCGCTTATCACTTGTGAACATTTAAACTACTCAGAAGACTGTTCAGTTTAATCATCCCCCAAAGCAGTTCAGTAACACTGAGATTAATAACTGACTCATCACACTGATTTATCAGTATACACCGGTTATGTATTAGACTATATTAGACAGTCTCATTTGTTCCATATACTAATAATAATTATGCAACATTTGGTTCCGACCTGGTTCCGAGCTGATTGGTTGAGAAGTGTTGTAATCGTGCTGATATTTGTGACAACAGCACTGTTTTTTCCACAGCAAAACTGTATCACTCCGCTGATGTGTTGCCAAGTAACAGGTTTACAGGCTTTATGCATGCAAACCTTAGTTGTTTTGTATTTGTGCTCATACAAAATGAGACATTGATAAGATGGATGATTTTAAGATAACATTTGACCTGCAACCTGTTAGGACAGAAGAGTGTGACTGCAGACGCACATCAAATTCTGAACCTTGATATTTCTACAGTTCTATGGCTCTATCTGTACCACAAAAGGTGAGCTTTATAGTATCAGCAGTTATCTTTGGCTGTGCACAGGGCACAATAAGCTAGGGCAGAGGTCGGCAACCCAAATGCTGAGAAAAGCCATTTTGGCCTTTCGACAAAAATCAAACCACCTTGGGAGCCACAACAATGTCAATTTTACCATCTTGGCTGTAAATATGTCTCAGTACGTGCTAATGTCCTAGTATAGGCTAAAAAATATAATATAAACGAAAACACATGCTTAATTTGCTCTGCTTTAAGCTTTAGCTCAGCTATAGCCGCTTTTTCACATCTCTAGCAGGAAAGTTTTCCTCAAAAGGAATAGTTCTTGAAAAATGTCTCTAAATATTTGATTTTTTAATGAGGCTGAAGTTGCTTCTCATTCGCCAGCTTCATGTTCAAATTTTCATATTCCACCTTAAATGATGCCTGACGTACCAGAATGTAACTGCTGCATCATTTAAGGTGGAATGGGAAAATTTGAATGAGAAACTGACTTAAGCTTTGCAACTTTAGTGTTTGGCAGTTTCTTGTTACAGATTAAACGTATCAGGAAACCAGCTGGAGTGATTATAATTGCAAATAAGTCCATTAATCTCCAAATTATCAATGTTCGTCTTAAATCTCTCTCTGCCATTTCGTTAGCTACTAGCTAGGTGAGGTTGTTGTGTGTTGATATGGTGACCAGCAGTCTGCGCGCCAATCTTCAGGGTTAAAGGGTGAATTAGCAGTTATACATTAACTCCAGTGTTTAAGACCATTTATTGTTAAACTGTGTTGAATGATCAGCAAAGCTTTATTTTACTGCAAATGAGTATTATTTTTTTTACCTAAAAATCTAGTTCTGCTGTGGGGCTGCAACAGGGCAGTAAAAGAGCTACGTTGCCAACCCCTGGTCTAGGGAATTTTACCATTGCATAGCAACAACTCATTTGTTGTAGAACTACTTTTTGGCAGAAGGTATTGTCAGTATTAAAGCATATTCAGTATGAAACTCTTTGATTTATTTTGTTTGTTTATTTTGTAGAAACTGTATAAAAGCAATAGAACACTCAAGGTGGTGTTATAGCGAATAACATCACGGCTGTGATAATCTAATCATATATCAAATCATAGCCGTGACATTATTATGCAATAACACACGATCTTGAGTGTTCTATTGCTTAAATAGCCATCAAACAGAACTAGAATTCATGCCTTATGATAATAAGCCACCCCACTGTGCATCAGAACTAAGAACATGCAACTTGTAACCATATCTGTAATGTTACAAATGAAAACAAATACAGCTGATACTGATAATCACAACTTTTGGAGGTCAGTGCCGCCGCTCACTTCTAAGCTAATCCAAACAATAGTGTCGAACGGCAATGAAAGGCGTTTCCATAAAATGAGAATGCCCACATCAGGAACACCCCCTTAACTTTCATTGGCTGATATGTCTGCAGAATGGCTTCTCTCATTGATGGATATGACTCAATGGTGAAAATACACCAGTATTTGTAAAGACGTTACGCATTCTAAATTAATATTGTTTTTACATGTTTTACATGAGCATTTAAAAATATGCACAAATGTACCGATTTTTATGATTTGTATAGAGTACTGTCTCACGGTTTTGTGATCCCTGACTTGAACTTGCAGTCTGAATGCCTATGATTGCTAATGGTAGCTATCAGCAGCGTTTTCAGCAGTACTACACAATCTGCTCCACACCAAGCATTATTTAAATTAATGCGCAATAATGGATTATAATGTGGATTATAATGTCCCTGATGAAAAACAAAAAAAAAAAATCAAAACCATTAAGAGTTTCTGTTGATAATGTAAACGATCCTAACGATTTAACAAGTGATCTAGTGACAGATTCCAGATACATTTCTAATGCTTCACTTGGAAAATACTGGTCTCTATTGGTAAATATTAAGCTAATTCCCATTAGGGGGCAAAAACCATTAGGTTTTAATCCTAATGGTTCTAATGGTCTTTATTCAGCAGGGGTTATTGTTGTGCTGCCAGCTTGCACAACATAACTGAAAGTTGGGTATTGTTGACTTTCAAGCAACTAAATAAAATGATAAAATGTTAATGTAACAGTAAACTTACCAACATCACAATCTAATGAAGGCACTCGTTAATCTTGACCTTATTGATCTTTTTCGTGCTGTTCTGTTCACTCTGGAACATAACTGTGGCTTTTACTTCAAGCCCACGTGCCCGTGACATCACGTGAGGGGCGTTCCTGGGGGGATAGATCACAGAAATGCACACAAGTGGGATGCATTACCAATACTACTACTACAAAAAAAATAAATAAATAAAAAAAGAAGAGAAACCTTTTCAGTCTGTGTATCTTTTGGTTATTCAACTGTCATTTCAAAACCAGCATTGAAAAATGGTCAAATTGGTCAATTCTCGTTTCTGGTTTTGTTTTTGTCAGTGCAAACACTAAAAATTTGCTTTGTTTTACAGTTTCACAAACTAATCATAAAATCAAAAAACAAACAAAACAAACAAAACAAACAAACAAACAAACAACAATTCTTCACAACAAACAGCACAACAGGACCTAAAGCCCAACACAGAGTCTCCTCTCTCAGTGAGAGTTTAGTTTAATGTAAGGAAGGCGCTGTTGTCGGTGCTGCACTCGGAGGACTGAATGGCTTTCTGTCGTAATGAAGGTGTCTTGATAAAAAAGGAGACACAGGAGAGGCTACAGAATAACACAAATAACACATACATACATTTTAGACTTACAGAACAACACTAACATTATTAAACCACGACAACGTCCCTTTTTACGGGGGCGGAGCCGCTGCGCAGCTCTGCATAACGCGCCTCTAAAGCTCCCTCCGAAAACCAGAGCCAGTGGCAGCTGCCACAGTATTATGAGAACAATCTGCACACAGGACAGCTCACAGCTTTAACTCTTAGGTCTGGAGTTGTTTACATCTGACAGTGTGACATCACAGTATTCATTTTTCTCATCATTACTGGGCAGCGTGACTCATTTCTCTCTTTGATTTCGCTGTTAAATGGCAGGAGTTCTGTAAAGTCTCTTCCCCAGATCACTTAAGATTTCTTCCTGATAGGATATATTTTATTTATTTATTGTTTAAGTGATAGAAAATGTTAAAATGAAATACATAAAATACGACTCCTTATTCCTCTTCTGTTTTTTATTAATTTATCATACGTTTGTGAAACTGTCAATCAAAACTATTTCTTTATTTTCCACTGACAATAACAGAACCAAAAACAACAACTGACCCATTTTCCTGTTCTACAAAACTGGATTTGAGATGAAAATCGAATGACCAAAAGATACACGAACCCTTTTCCCTGAGATATAAACGCGCCTTGCACACATGCTCTCAAAATAACTTACTCAAGAAAGAGCGGAGGTCTCTCTCTGAGCGAGTGTCTCTCTCTCTGAAATAAACAGCAGCTGCCAACCGGTCAGTAAAACACGGGTCAGACGCTGCAGGCACGTCAGTGACTTTTAAAAACGGTGCAAACAACCTGCCTGCCTGGCTGGCTGGCTGGCTGCGCTCCATCCAAACGGACCAGCTTCACACTAAACCCCGCATCGCAGATCCAGTTTCCCTCCAGCGCTGCGATACAGGATGCTGGCTAGGCTGACAATGACGAGCTGATATTGCGCTAGCATTAGCCGCTAACGGAAACCTAGCTAGCTTCAGCTTACACTGCCACAAACAACACAGACAACCCGCACCGCCTGCCTGTCTGCGCTTCATGCACACAGTCCGACTTCACACTACAAACCCACCCGAGCCTCACAAACCCAGTTTACCTCCACTGACTCAGCACAGTGCGGCAGCTATGCTAGCTAACACTGCCGGGCTAATTTGGCGCTAGCATTAGCTGGTAACAGAAACCCAGCTTCTGGCTGTCGATCTAAACTTATTAGCTCGACTAAACTTTAGTAAAGCACACATTTCTGTACAACCCGAATAAATTATAATTACTGAATACTTACCCAGTGTGTGTGTCAGTGTGTTTGTCTCCACCGCTCTCGGTTCGAATCTTCAGTCTTGGCCGCGGTTTTTCAAACGGCGCCCCGCCCTCCTCCTCCTCCTCACCCAATCACCTGCAACTACTGTGACTTGAATTTTGAGTGACCAATCAGTCAAAACATGCCACTCTGTCGCTCTGTAGTGCTGTCACCGAAATTCGTGTTCTGTGGTTATGTGCGTCATGCAGCAGGAAAATACATTAGATACATTTATTAAAAGAGCAGTAACATCACAGTTTATTGGTATGACATATTTTAACCATATTTATGTTTGTATAAATATATTTAAGTTATTGAACAGCAGTATGTGTGACATTTTGACAGACTGATTTTGTTTACCCAACACCACAACTGACATCCCACAAAATACCAGGGTCTAAAGTTGTCTGTATCCCACATTAGAAGGACTTTAGCACTGTGACATTTAGCAGATGTTAGGTTTTGGTTAGTTAACACTGTGACTTCCCAGTTAACAATATTTATCTCATCTTTAGTTTTGTTTTGGCCCAGTTCTGGCTGGGTCCTCAGCCCAGATCTGGTCCATATACTGTAAAACAAGAAGAACTAATTGATGTGGCCCAGATGAGGCCAACACACTATAAAATTAGTACAACTAACAGATGTAGCCCAACTCTGGCCCATATATTGTAAAGTGAGTAGAACTAATAAATGTGGCCCAGATCTGGCCAACATACTGTAAAGTGGGTAGAACTAAGGGCTCTGGTCCAGCTCTGGCCCATATACTGTAGTATATATAAAGGTGTGGGCCAGATTTGGCTACCCACTTTAGTCCCCAACCAGGTGTGGCACTGCAGGATGCCACATTCATTTATTGCAGATCATGCAAAATATTAGTAATATCTGTTATTAGTATTAGTAATATTTCTTTTTAATAATCAATAGGTGTCAAAAGCCATTTTAGAATGAAAACTCCATGTTGATTCTGGTTAAATAAATAAAAACAGTAAATGAATGAAGGAACAAAGGCTTCACCTTTGTGACAGGTCGTTCTTGAGCAAAGTGGAGAGGCCACTGAAATACAGGCTAAATCTGACATCTACCTTGGAGCACTGTTCAAATGTAATTTCACAGACATTTTATTTTAAATCAGAGATGGCAAACATGTCTAAAAAAAATCATACTTAAGCGGTCTGTGGAATAAAAAACATTTGTGTATGTCCCTGAAGTATAGGTGTCAACCCATTCAATGTGCCTTCATAAAATACATGCATACATGAGATCAAGCCAACTGTGTATGAGACACTGTTTCGCGGTTTAATTTGATAAACAGCTATGTTGTCTGATTCTGTCTGCAATAATTCATATGATTACTGGAGGATTTTTTTCCACAGTAAACAAATACAAAGCTGGATAAATCAAAACCTGTCCACTTCCTGATGCCTAAGAAAAGAGGAAATGCATTCAACTATTATTTACTTATTTAACTGATTTCCAGATAACACAGTTTTTGTGTCAAACTGTACAACAAATCCCTTTACCTAGTAATCTGGAACACCACAATCAGCATTTCCAACAGATCCCTCTACAGACTGAATATGCTCAGTCACTTTGGTAGTTGTTTCACTGTAAGCAGTCACAGAGCTCCAATAACAGCTTGTCTGGAAGGCATGGGTTTTACTTCAGAAACTGAATAATGAGGCAGGAACTCCACAACTGTAAGATCTGTAACAACAAGAAAGTTTTTGTTCTAACAAACATTAAGGAACCCATAATCAATATTAAGCTACTTACAGGTCGAACTAATGTAAAGCACTCCTGGCAGTGAACTCTCATATGAACCAGGAAATATTGCCTCATTTTAACAATGACAGCATCCATTTTTAAAAATTTTTGTACTTCTACTGACTTATACAGAAGGATGATGTGTGTGCAGACGAGAGGACCTGCTACTGCTGTCACAAGACAATGTGCTAGCCCAGAGTAAACGCTCTAGACCCAAGCTAATGTGCTAACTTTGAGCTAATGTCCTAACTGCAAACTAAAGCGCTGTACCATTATGGCATAACACTCAAAAAGCACAGGCTATTCCTTTTAAATGCTCAGAGTAGTTAGCTAACGTTAGCTAAGGAAGAAGTTAACATTAGCCATGATGAATTAGCAATTAAGGGTAATGTAGCTAAACCTTGTGCTGATAGCCGTTACATTAACCTAGCTACCCTGTGCTTTTCAAGTATTATGCTAAAATGGTACTGTTAGAAAGTTAGTTATAACTTTTCATTTTCCATACTGGAACCTTATAATTTGAAATTATTCAATTATTACTCTTCCATTTGCCTTCTCTTCAAACCTAGCCGCCAGCTTGTCCATATGAAAATGGTGAACTTGTGCTGGAAAATTTATTAAATGAGGGTCTTAACCTTGAAAGGGTGAACTCTAATTGCATTTATGACATGCCAGACTAGGGTCAAAGGTACTGAGGTGTAAATCAGCCAATCTGCTGCAGCATAAAGGTGTGGCCCTCTTCCTTCATCCACATTGTTGGGCCACAACATTCATGTCAGAATTGGCCCTTAAACGTAGATACAATTTAAGACCATGCACAGCTGTCCAGCATCTGGCCCAATTCTGGCCCACACTTGGGTATGTAAGCCAGAATTGGCCCAGAACTGTCTGCTATTTGGGTGAGCTACTTATGACATGTCAGACATAGGTCAAAAGTACTGAAGTGTAAATCAACTGAGCACAAGTCTGCTGCAACTTAATTGTGCTGTGGCCCTCTTCCTTCATCCACACTGATCGGCCATAACATTCACGCTAGAAGTGGCCCTTACACGTAAATGTGACTTAAAACCATACACAGCTGTCCAGCATCTGGCTAATATCTATCTGGAAGTCAACGAACACTCACGGACGTGAGCCAGAATCGGCCGAGAACAGTCTGCTGTCTGAGTTAGAGCCAACAACATGTCATAGTCTATTGATGTTAGAATTTTGTTTCATGAAGGTTAAAACTCTGACACCATGGCCTAAAACCAACATTGGCATAAGACGTGTGGAAGACGTTGGATTTTGGTTACATGACACTGAAATTTTAAACCAACAAAATATCAACTTCTAATAATGTTAGAATGTCGTGTCGAATTCACCATACTCATGACTGCATGTCAGTATTCGAAATCAATATGATGTTGGGATGTGAAGTTTAGAAGACGTTGGATCTTGGTTAGTGAACATCACGCTTTAAAACCAACAAAATATGAACATCTAACATTGTTAGAATGTTGTGTCAATTTGACGTTAACGTTATGACGTTAAATAGACGTTGGGTTTTGGTCAACATACATCACGACTGCATGTCAGTTTTCTACGTCAACCTGATGTTGGCATGTGACGTTTGGAAGATGTTGGATTTTGGTTACTTTACATCACAACTTAAAACCAACAAAATATCAACGTCTAATGATGTTAGAATGTTACGTTAATCTGACGTTAAGGTTATGACGTTAAATAGACGTTGGGTTTTGGTCACCATACCTCACGACTGCATGTCAGTTTTCTACGTCAGTATGACGTTGGCATGTGACGTTTGGAAGATGTTGGATCTTGGTTAGTGAACATCACAACTTAAAACCAACAAAATATCAACGTCTAATGATGTTAGAATGTTACGTCAATCTGACGTTGGCATGTGACGTTTGGAAGATGTTGGATTTTGGTTACTTTACATCACACCTTAAAACCAACAAAATATCAACGTCTAATGATGTTAGAATGGTACGTCAATCTGACGTCAAGGTTATGACATTAAATAGATGTTGGGTTTTGGTCACCGTACCTCACGACTGCATGTCAGTATTCTACGTCAGTATGACGTTGGGATGTGACGTTTGGAAGACGTTGGATCTTGGTTAGTGAACATCACACCTTAAAAACAACAAAATATCAACATCTAATGATGTTAGAATGTTATGGCAATGTGATGTTAAGGTTATGATGTTAAATAGATGTTGGGTTTTGGTCACCATACCTCACGACTGCATGTCAGTTTTCTACGTCAATCTGACGTTGGCATGTGACGTTTGGAAGACGTTGGATTTTGGTTACTTTACATCACAACTTAAAACCAACAAAACATCAACATCTAATGATGTTAGAATGTTACGTCAATCTGACGTTAAGGTCATGACGTTAAATAGACGTTGGGTTTTGGTCACCATACCTCACGACCGCATGTCAGTATTCTACATCAATCTGACGTTGGAATGTGACGTTTGGAAGATGTTGGATTTTGGTTACTTTACATCACAACTTAAAACCAACAAAATATCGTCTAATGATGTTAGAATGTTACGTCAATCTGACGTTAAGATTATGACGTTAAATAGATGCTGGGTTTTGGTCACCATACCTTACGACTGCATGTCAGTTTTCTACGTCAGTTTGACGTGGGATGTGACGTTTGGAAGACGTTGGATCTTGGTTAGTGAACATCACACCTTAAAAACAACAAAATATCAACGTCTAATGATGTTAGAATGTTATGGCAATGTGACCCTAAGGTTATGATGTTAAATAGACGTTGGGTTTTGGTCACCATACCTCACGACTGCATGTCAGTTTTCTACGTCAACCTGATGTTGGCATGTGATGTCTGGAAGATGTTGGATTTTGGTTACTTTACATCAAAACTTAAAACCAACAAAATATCAACGTCTAATGATGTTAGAATGTTATGTCAATCTGACGTTAAGGTTATGACGTTAAATAGACGTTGGGTTTTGGTCACCATGCCTTATGACTGCATGTCAGTTTTCTACGTCAGTATGACGTTGGGATGTGACGTTTGGAAGATGTTGGATTTTGGTTACTTTACATCACAACTTAAAACCAACAAAATATCAACGTCTAATGATGTTAGAATGTTATGTCAATCTGACGTCAAGGTTATGACATTAAATAGACATTGGGTTTTGGTCACCATACCTCACGACTGCATGTCAGTTTTCTACGTCAGTATGACGTTGGGATGTGACGGTTGGAAGACGTTGGATCTTGGTTAGTGAACATCACAACTTAAAACCAACAAAATATCAACGTCTAATGATGTTAGAATGTTACGTCAATCTGATGTCAAGGTTATGACGTTAAATAGACTTTGGGTTTTTGTCACCATACCTCACGACTGCATGTCAGTATTCTACGTCAATCTGACGCTGGCATGTGACGTTTGGAAGACGTTGGATTTTGGTTACTTTACATCACAACTTAAAACCAACAAAATATCAATGTTGGCTGTCGTCATTATTCTACGTCAATTTGACGTTGGAATTAGATGTTGTGTGTATGTTGAATTTTGGTCATCTGACGTCACGACCAACATTCAACCAAATATCAATGTCTTTTGACGTTGGTGGCCAGCTGGGTAACATCATCAAAAGCTTCAGAGAATCTGGAAGAATTCCTGTACGCAAGGGACAAGGCCGACGGTCAATATTGGATGCTCATGGTCTTTGGGCCCTCAGGCGGCACTGCATTGAAAACTCCAGGAAGACTTCCAAGAATCATTGTCTGTGAACACAGTTCACTGTGCAATCCACAAATGCAAGTTAAAGCTGTATCATGCAAAGAAGAAACCATATATAAAGAGGATCCAGAAACGCTGCCAACTTCTCTTGGCCAAAGCTCATTTTAGATGGACTGAGGCGAAGTGGAAAAGTGTCCTGTGGTCAGATTAATCAAAATTTGAGATTCTTTTTGGAAATAATGGACACTGCATCCTTCAGACAAAAGAGCTCCCAGCTTATTATTTGCACACAGTTCAAAAGCCAGCATCCATGATGGTATGGGGAAGCATTAGTGCACATGGCATGGATGTCTTACACATCTGCGAAGGCACCATTAAAGCTGAATGAAATATACAGGGTTTGGCAACATATGGTGCCATCAAGACAGCGTCTCTTTCAGGGAAGGCCTTGCATATTTCAGCAAGACAATGCTGAACTACATATTGCATCCATCACAACAGCATGGCTTTACAGAAGAAGAGACCGGGTGTTGAACTGGCCTGCCTGTAGTCCAGACCTTTCACCAATAAATATTTGGTGAATCATGAAACGAAAAATCTGGCAAAGAAGACCCAGGACTGTTGAGCAGCTAGAATCCTACATCAGACAAAAATGGTACAACATTCCTCTCCCAAAACTCCAGCTATTGGTCTCCTCACTTCCCAGATGTGTACAGACTGTTGTTAAAAGTAAAAAAACTGTTGTCAAAATTTTTTGAGATGCATTGCTGCCATCAAGTTCTAAACGAGTTAATGTTTTTCATGAAATAGTAAAATGTCTCACATTCAACATCTAATATGTGTTCTATGTTCTATTGTGAATGAAATATGGGTGTATGAGATTTGCAAATCGTGTTTTGTTTTTATTTACATTTATTTACATTTTACACAGCGTCACAACTTTTTTGGGATTGAGGTTATAAATTTGTATCCAGATATACATCTCAGATATACATCTATTATTTTCATTTTTCTGTCCTTTTTTTGTTGGGTTATTAAAGACATTGAAGTGAACCATTCATTAGCTGAATCATAATTACATTTGCCTACCTGTAAACATCATGATTTCATGATTTACCAAGAACATTTGGTACATTAAAATAAAAAGGTATCTAATGGTTCTTGGCTACATATGCTTAGGTGGAAAAAAAAACTTCAACTGATATAGAATCTTTACATTATGTGGAGGTTCTTTAGGCTTCAAAAGTATTCTTGTCTTCACACATATCATTTACAAAAACGGTTCTTAAAAAAACTTTTAGGGAAAGTGGGTTTTGCTATGGCGTCACTTCGAAAAACGCTTTTTGGATTTTTTTTTCTAGATAAAAAAAGCTTTAGCAACCATTTTCAGCTCCCTTTTGAATACAAAATGCCCTTTGATCCCACAGCTTTGTTTGTTTCCAATGGAGAACAGCAGGTTTGTAGAAGAATAAACAAAAAGTAAAGTGGAACACTCTGCTTGTTCCTGGGCGTCCCAGTATGAAGCTGCGGCCTGGGCTTGCCAATTGAAACCAGATTGCCACACATATGCAAAAGCCTTACTGCCCAGGGAGATCAGTCGACTGTCCCTGGCTGTTCCTGGTTAAGGCCCACGCAATGGAAAAACAAAGCAATCAAAAATTATTCTTGCCCTGGCCCTAGCCCATGCCTCAGATACAGCGGTGACGATGGGTATTTTGATCGCCATGCTAAATTACACTCTGGGAAACTAGTGGAGGTTTACAGGTTTATATCAATCAAAACCCATGCTTACAAGCTTGAGTGAACTTTTCATATGTAACTCATAGGATGTGATGACTGACTTGACGTGTGTGATGCAAAAGAGCCAGGACCGTTTTTTATTCATCTTTGTATTTGTCGCAACACAGATTTCAGCTTGCGGAGCATTAAAATACAGAGACAGTTTTTTCCCTTTGACTTGCTGTTGGACTAACAGACAAAATGCTTTCCCTTTTCCCTTCTTTTTGAGACAGTGTCCTAGAGGTCTCAGTCAAAGTAGTGCACCAGGTAGGATGATCAATTTAAAAACTTATCAAATTTAAGAAAATAGACAATAAATACTGTACAGTCTCACATCTAACTTGAACTCAAAAATACTGTGCCATTATATTTGACAGAAAATAAACAATAGCAAGTAAGTTCCTTCACAATAATAACACCACAATGACAAATGACATTAATTGCATACATATTCATTTGAATATCTTTAAATAAAGTACCATCTTTAATAAAAAGGTGCATGCAAACTTGTATGCACTTGAAAATGATTCCTGAAAAGATGTCTGGAGCATAAACATCAACAATATATACAGCTCCCAAGCAATGCACCATTATATACAGAGGAACAAAACAATAACACTATAATAACAGACTGACAGGAAAACTGCCCATAAAGTGTACACAAAACTATCTTCTAACCATCTTCTAAAACCTGCCCTTTTCTCTTATCACTCCCCTACTCGTCAACCTGAAATCAGAGGTTCTGTTGAGGCTTTAACTGAAGAGGTAAGTGAACTGTGCTAGCTGTGAAGTAAGTTCCCCTGAGTTAGTAGTGGAAGGTAATGTCTGGTCAGCTTCTCAAATATCGCCATGACATCAATCTGTAAGTGTTTATCAAAGATGAGCCTGATACTCTCTGTCAGAGAGGAACTCCAACAGAGGTCAACAGCATTTGTTGGAATTAGAACTACTGAGTTGATTATCATCTAAACTACTGCTAAAACATTTGAAATCAGGGTTTTCAATAATGTAGAACCAATTTTGCTGCAGATACATATATAAAATAATTGTAAATGTGAAACAATGTAGGTTTCAAATCATTAGTACACTCCTAAAAATAAAGGTCCTTAGTTTAGACATACGGTTCAAGAAAAATCTTTAATTGGTGTATAACCTTTATATTATGTGGAGGTTCATTAGACTTTAAAAAGTTTCTTCACAATTCTTCACTAATATGTCTCATTTACAAAAGTCTTTAGGGAACAAAAAGTGTTTTTTCTATGACATTGCTCCAAAGAACTCTTGGTCCTTTTTGGCACCCTAATTTTCAAGAGTGTAGGAAGCTGGTGACAACACAGTTGTGTATTACATAATAATTAAGAAGCTGTACAGCATCAAGAATTAACATTAATATCTATAATGTGTTGTATTTAAAGACTGCTGATCAAATCTCAAGGCAAATAACCTGACAAACAGATAATTACAGTAAATGAAACTGTAGTGTTCAAGTTTGTTATGGTTTATGTGTTACTCTCTCTGAGCTGGTGTGCTGGCAAGTTCTCTCCCCATGACACTGCACTTGTCTCTTGGGAAACGTCCCTTACACAAATACTTTCCCATGCCTACCATTCCAGCCTGGAAAATCAACGTTTTTCAGGTTAATCATCATAGCAGCGTTAATCTTACAAGAAGTGTGTTTGTGGCTGAAAGATTAGAGCCTCCGACTGTTGACAACTTTGAAGTACATTCTGGAACTCGAAAAATATGTGACTACTCCGATACACCTTTATATAATGTTTACATATTCATTAAAAAATCCATACACTTTAGGAGGCTGGATGTGCATGTGTGTGCCACCTTTGGACCACTGACCAATCTCCTAAACGCTGAAAACAAATGCATAGAGTGGGCAGGGAACCATGCTAAAAAACATGCTACACATTTAAGAGGGTGGAAAGCAGCTGTGAAATGTAGTTTGAAGTTCAAGCATGGAAACTGAAGTTGTCACAGGACAGGAACTGGCAGTTGTGTGGGGCATTTGATCAGTATTCTCTGGCCTCCTCCAGTTCATTCATGAAGACATCCTGGCGGGGGTTCTCAGGGCAGTTCAGGCCATTGTTGGGTGGCCGTACGGCATGAAAGCGGCTCCAGTCTCCCTTGCACAGGATCCAAGGCAGCACGTCCACCTTGAAATGCAGCTCAGGCGAGAACTCTGTACTGATGAGATTTGGTGTGCCTGCCCCTTTGCCCCTTGTGATCAACTGGCCCTGGCTGTCGTAGCAACAGTGCTGAGCGGCCAATGTGGTGCCCTGTGCTGACAGTGCAGAGCGCAAGCAGCTGTGTGCAGAAGGCTTGTAGATGTCCAGCCGCTCCTTGGGGTTGTTAGCGTCCCTCCAGTGGAATGTTTGCTTGTGGCCCTCGTCTGGCAGGGTAAGCGCACTGTGGGAAGCTGTGGTGGGGTAGGAGCAGGGACAGTTGGGTAATTCCATGAGGACCTGCTGCAGGTAGCGCTGGAGAAACTCACTCTTACAGTTCAGCCACTTCTCACAGCTGTCAACATCTGTAAGGAATGAGGCAAACCCCAGGGATGATTAGAAGGTCCACAAAGTGCAGCTGAATGCAGGTGAATCTAACTTGTACATACACTCATTGGCTATTTTATTAGGCACAGCTGCCAAACAGGTATTCTTTACAGTTTTCACTAAACAGGACTTCACAGCACTCATGTTTGTGATCAAAACATGGTGTGTAAAGATTAACATTAACTTGTACACATCATTTTTTGTATTATTTAAAGTTGACAGAAAGACCTCATGTAAAACACGTCTTCTTCAGCATCTGACCTTACTCTTACCAGCTCCAGTGTTAGCTTTATCATTAGCTCATTTGCAGAGTTACCTTTCATCAATAAAGCCTCGATCTTATTAGAGATGAAAACCTACCGCTTTAACATTGAGTGACTAAATGATTTCCCAGATTTAATTAATGTATGCATAGTTTCTGGAGTCCATCTTTTGTTCGCCTTAAATTGGCCTGCATGCATATTTTGTCATCTCACAAACATGTATGTCTGAGACATCTTGTAAAACTAGATGTAGTTCTCTGTGTGCCTCTACATTTTCTTTTGTTTAGTTTAGTTTAGTTTCTTTTTAGTTTGTTAGTACAAGTGTAACAGGTGTACTGAGCTGAAAGTTTGATATACGAAGCAATATTAAGAGAGGCATGGATTTTGTCACCTTGCCAGCCATCCTCTACCCCATTACCAGATTTTATTGTAATGGTGGACCATTCTCAACACACCTCTTTTAAGAGGTAATGCATGTTGCAATGATGAGAATGCACAACTGCTGCTGCTTTGCTGGTGTTTTTAAACACTGTATAGACTTGCGACACCTACCATGTTGCTACATTGTAGGTGTACAGTTAGAGGCAGTTAGCTCTTTTTTCCATGCAAATGCACAATTTCTGTTTTTCACTTGCCCGTCATCAGTGGTAATCAGTGGTCAGTTTCTTAACACAGGCCCACTGTTGGCTGTATATTTTTGGTTGCCAGGTCATTGCAAGATCAATCCCCAGCGATGCCACAGCCACCTGTGGCCAGGTGTGCAAGAGCAGATTTCGGCTTGCTTTCTTTGAGTGGGTGAGATGGTCCTTCCTCTTCCCCCATCACTTAACACAATGCTAGCCAATGTGGGCATCTGTTAGCTGACGTAACAGTTAGGGTTCTCAACCAGGCATGTTAAGCTGTCCAATGAGGTCACTTCAGCGGCAGTTCAAAATGATGCAATCACTACCTTGACATGTCTCAAAGGAAGTGCGTGCTAGTTTGATGGCATCATGGCATTAGGGCTGACCTAGTTAGCAGATGGCAATGATTAAATATGGGCAAAAATTGGGTAAAACTTTAGAGAAACTCTAGCGACACTGCTGTGGCTGATATACATGATATATATAACGGAACACATACTAACATGTCAGTACTCGCTAACTTGTCAGTATCACTGCTGTACTGATAATGGTCCACCATCCTGGTCAGTGGTGGTCCTGCTGTGGTGTAAAGCATGGCTACACTTCACTGATGTCTGAAAACAATAATCGTATAAATACAATCTTGAAAAAGAAGGTACAAGCTCATAAAACTGTATAAATATGATACTTACCTGTGCCAAAAGGTTCCGTTCCATTCTCCATCTCAAAGGGGAAAACACTGGATATTGGATTCAAATCATCTAGGGGAAAAAAAAACAAAAACACATCATTTGACACTGTGCCTTGTATTTCACATATGAAAATCAAGTAAATTATCTCACCTGGGCAAGGGTCAAGGTAACAACTCCTGGATTCGGTGGACATGCAGAAATCCCCACATGATCGTGTGCGAGTCTGGTTGCCATGGCCACAGGTGACAGAGCAAGGTGCCCAAGCACTCCACTTCTCCTCCTCTTTCTCTGCAGAATGACATGAAACATGGGAGTATTTAAAAAGGTCCAATATTCCAGGACCAAAACATCAAACAGAACAACAAAGTTGCCAAACAAAACAAACATATGCTTTGAGCACCGGGCCATAATATTAAAAGCATTCTTCAAGAGGCCTTTTTCACTAAACAGATTTAATTATCTCAAGTTCAAATCTAGTTCAAACTTGATTTAACAAAACAGCAGATTTTAACTGTAGATTACAGAAGGGGCACTAGGCATCCTAGTGCCTCAAGGACAACAGGCATCCTTTTGAAGCTAAACAACGTGTGTGCATTTATGAGTACTTGACCACAAAAGGCACAGTCTGTAAAATGTCATTTTGAAAGTTACATTGTGATTCAAAAGACACTGTTGTACAATCCCATTTCCAAAAAAGTTGGGACGCTGTGCAAAATATAAATAAAAACAAAATTCAATGATGTGCAAATCATTTAAATCCTATAATCCTAAAATTTCATTGAGGGGCCTATATTTCATTGAGGGGCATGTTTACCACTGTGTTTCATCACTTCTTCTTTTAACAACACTCTTTAAGCATTTGGGAACTGAGGAGACCAATTGCTGCAGTTTTGAAAGTGAAATGTTTTCCCATTTTTGCTTAACATAGGATTTTAAGCTGCTCATCAGTTCGGGGTCTCCTTTGTCTTATTTTTCATTTCATAATGTGCCAAATGTTTTCAGTGGTGACAGATCTGGACTGCAGGCAGGCCAGTGTAGCACCCTGAACTCTTTTAATACAGAGCCATGCTGTTGTAATACATGCAGAATGTGGTTTGACATTGTCTTGCTGAAATAAGCAGGGCCTTCCCTGAAAAAGATGTCGTCTGGATGGCAGCATATATTGTTCAGCATTAATGGTGCCTTCACAGATGTGCAAGTCATCCATGCCATGTGCACAAATGCACTCCTATACCATCATGAATACTGGCTTTTGAACTGTGCACTGATTACAAGCTTAATGGTCTTTACCCTGGAGGACACAGTGTCCATGATTTCCAAAAAGAAATTCCAATGTTGATTCGTTGGACCACAGGACACTTTTCCACTTCCCCTCAGTCCATTTTAAATAAGCTCAGGCCCAGAGAAGGTGGCAGCTTTTCTGGATCCTGTTTATGTACAGTTTCTTCTTTGCATTTAAGCATTTTAATTAGCATTTGTGGATGCATCGCTGAACTGTTTTCATAGACAGGGTTTTCCAGAAGTTTTTCTGAGCCCCTGCAGTTATTTCCACTACAGAATCATATCCGTTTTTAATGCAGCGCCGCCTGAGGGCCCAAAGATCACGGCCAGCAAATGCTGTTTTTTGACCTTGTCCCTTGCCTACAGAGATTTCTCCAGATTCTCTGAATCTTTTCATGTTATCATGTACCGTAGATGATGAAAAGCAAACGTTCTTTGCTATTTTATGTTGAGAAACGTTATTCTTGAATCGTTGCACTATTACACAACTTTTCTCAGTTTCAGCATTTGATATGTTGCTTTGTACTATTTTCAATGAAATATAGGGTTTAAATGATTTGCACATCATTGCATTTATATATATTTATATATAAATATAATTCTTGAATTTTTGCACAATTTGATCATGCAGTCTTTTACAGAGTGGTGAACCCCTCCCCATCTTTACTTCTGAAAGACAGCCTTTCTGGGGTGCTCTTTTTTATACCATGTTTATATCATGTTACTGACCTGTTGTAACCATGTAACAACCAGGTGTTTTTAGCATTACACAACTTTACCAGCCTTTTGCTGCCCCCGTCCCAACTTTTTGGAACGTGTTGTTGGCATCAAATTCAAAACGGGCATATATTTTTCAATAAACAATAAAATTTCTCAGTTTCAACATTTGATATGTTGTCTTTGAAGCATTTTCAAAGAAATACAGGGTTTAAATGATTTGCACAACATTGCATTTTGTTTTTATTTACATTTTTCACAGCGTCCCAACTTTTTTTGGAAATGGGGTTGTATAACACATTCCATGAATACTGATTCAACAGTCTCAAAAGAAACACTACAGGCAAAACCACTTTATGAGTTTTCACTGTTCCTCTACATGGAAACCTTTTTTTTGCATCACATTAGCCTTAATGTCCAGGCCACAATATATACCACTAAGCACTTTATTAGGAACACTATACTAATACTGAGTAGAGACACCCTTTGCTCTCAAAACAGCCTTAATTCTTTGTAGCATGCATTCCACAAGATGTTGGCAACATTCCTTTGAGATTCTGGTCCATATTTACATATTTTTAGGCACACTTTCACGCTGCAAACACTAAAGAACATTGAACTCATTGTCATATTCATGAAACCACCTTGAGACATCTTCTGCTTCATGGTGCATTATCATGTTGGAAGTAGCCATTAGAAAACGGGTAAATTGTGGCCATGGAGGGATGCACACGGTCAGCAACAATACTCAAATAGGCTGTGGCATTCACAATGACTGACTCGTGTTAACAGGTGCAAAGCATGCCAAGAAAACAGTCCCCACAACATTACAATGCCTCCGCCAGCCTGGACTGCTGACACAGGGCAGGTTGGGTCCATGAATTCATGCTGTTGCCAATGCTGGTGCCAAATTCTGACACTACCATTTGTGTGCTTCACCAGAAATTGAGATTCATTAGACCAGGCTACATTTTTCCAGTCTTCAGCTGTCCAGTTTTGTGTTATCAACAAGGTATGATGTGTGCAACTTACCTAGCTTGCACCACTCATATTGAGAAACAGTGCTACAACCGCATTTTAGAATGTTAGGATGCAGAGCAAAATGTAAATAAAAACAGAATGCAATGATGTGCAAATCATTCAAACCCTATAATTAATTGAAAATAGTACAAAGACAACATATCAAATGCTGAAACTGAGAAATGTTATTGTTTTTTTGAAAAATGCACTCACTGACCACTTTATTAGGAACACCTACCTTGTCACTACACTCATTGTCCATTTTATCAGCTCCACTTACCATACAGGTCCACTTTGTTCTACAATTACCCTGTTCTTCAATGGTCAGGACTCCCACAGGACCATCACAGAGCAGGTATTATTCGGGTCATGGATCATTCTCAGTGCTGTAGTGATATTGATGTGGTTGTGGTGTGTTAGTGTGTGTCGCACTGGTACAAGTGGATCTGACACAGCAGTGCTGCTGTAGTTTCGAACCACCCCAAAGCTGGACTGAGAATAGTCCACCAACCAAAAACGTCCAGCCAACGGTATCTTCTTGGCAGCATCCTGTGACCACTGATGAAGGACTAGAGGATGACCAACACAAACTGTGAGCTATCGTCTCTGACTTTGCATCAGCTAGCACCAACAAGGTAGGAGTGTCTAATAGAGTGGGCAGTGAGTGGACAAAAACTGGGTTCTTGTGGGTTCTTGTGCTACACAACATGGCCAAGAACCTGTCTACTTTAACAAGGAAGTTTGAGTGGCAAGCACAATGACCACACAGTGTTGTTTTTGGTCCAGATGATCATCAAATTAGTGCTACAACTTCACTCCTGAGTAGTGCAAGCGGCTGAGCATTGATAAAGATCAAAAGTTTGATCCCTGGCAATGCCACAGACGGACATCCAAGAAAGCATAACTGGCCTCCCTCTCCCCACATTATTCAGAGAACTGCTAGCCAGCAGTGGTGCTTGTTAGCTGATGTAAAGGAATTGGCAGTTACCATTAACCTCCAACTGCATTGAGCTGTTTAGTGATGTAGTTCGAAGAGATAGGGTGGCTGGCTTCATGTGTCTTGGTGAAGGCAACCTCATAGTTTGGTAGAATTGTGCAACAGGGGATTGACCTAACAAGCAGGTTGGAACTGCTCACAACTATATCAGAGGAAAAAAACTGGGCTACAACTAAATTGCTACACAATTGCTTGCAACCACCAAGAAATACTGTGTTGTAACACCAAAGGAAACGCAGATAATTGCTTGGTACTTCTAGCTACCATTTAGCTTGATTTATAGTCATGTCCTATCAAACTAGTAAAAAATGGTACATGGTGGTATGTACACACAGAAGTTGAGAGTGTAACTGAAAGGAGCCTGATTGTTGTGGACATCTTAGCCTACATTTAAATCAGAAGGTCCATGTGACAGAAGTGGTTGAAACTAAGACCTTGTAAAGTATAACATTTACAAAATGGCACTGAAAGGTTCCCTAAGCAGATGTTGCACAGCAACAATTCTGTGCCTAAGAAACTAACCTCATTTCCTAGTCCTGTAATGCAAAATGCAGATTAGAGATGTGCATGTTTGAAATATTTCATTCTTTAGAGGACTGAGTTAGGTGCTAATGATACTAAACAAATAGACAAAGTCCTGATTACAGACATAGCAATGGGTGATGAAAAGGATGGGGTGGGCTTGGAGACTGCCCACTTTGCCTTTGTGGCGTTGCCAACATAGTGGTCACAATAGCCACAGGATCAGGCAAACAGCAGAGGTGTAATTAGAAGTTCAATCACTAGTAGCAAACATATCCTTAGTCATATGTGACCACCAAATGGCATTTCTGTACTTAACTGAAGCCTCTAAATACACCAGGACATACACCAGTTTCTTCCTCACTCAATCATATATGCTCAAACGCATACTGACCAAGTCAGTTAACATAGTATTATGACTAAAATCATATGAATATTAGGTTATTAATAGGTTAATAGGTTATACATGTATTGAGGCATGAACCATAGAATGTATAGCATGCTCAACAAAAAAAAATATCTTTGCTTTTTAAACTTAAAAGATACTTAAAACTATATAACTTCTATTACAAATATAGTCATTATATAGTCATATATTATATAGTCAGTATAGTCATATATACTACACAGGTTGGTTTGGCTAAGATAAATATACGTTTTCAAACAAAACTTCTGCAATGCCTGTTATGCCAGCCCTTTAACAAAATAAGCCCCCTTAAAACACCCTTAGAAGTCTGTTTCCCACACATAGGTTATACTTTGGCAGTGTGCCACAGTTCGGCTGTTTTAAAAAAATGTTGAGCATTTTGACAATTCATCTGTTTTGAAAAACAATTTGCTTTTGATTTGGTCACTACATGAATGTAGCGGAGAATGAACAGCACTGGCGAAGAAGTTACAACTACCACACTTAACTTGCACAGTTGTTATAGCTGAATTTGCTTTCTCTTAGTTCAAAAGAATGCCTAGTTGCAGGTATACTAATGATTCATCTAATATTCATTTCACGGATGATTACTGAGAAATATTTTAACAAGAAGCTGCATGAGGAGGAGGAGAGACTCCTAGATTAGGTGCCCTGATGTATTCAAATTCACAGGAAAGTGCTTTGTAGTCATTAAACTAGCTTAAATCTTGAAATAGTCAAAAAGGCTTAGAAATGGATCTAAATAGTGTAATTTTTACAGTACTGTCAATGATGCCAGGTTAAAACTCCATTTCTATATACATTGACGTAATGCATTTATGTAAGTTAGTAACACTGTAACTTAAGCCCCTCCCCCTCCTTTCCCACTTTACTTTGATAGGATGCAGTTTTGATAGCTGACAGTGGTTAGTGGTTTCCACGAGAAGTGGCATGAGACTGAGGGGCACTGTCGGCGAAACAGTTCCAAAAAATAATTTTATAGATTTTTTCATTATAATTTTTCATTATTAAGTACATAATTTTAGACCATTTTTAATGGTCCATTTGTTATTAAATATACGGACAATGTAAAGGACTGCTGGCATATTCAAATGGGGTACGAGGTTCAAATGAAGTTATGAGGTTATGAGGACAACATATTTTTTGTTTCCTTATGCAAAAGACACAAAATGAGATGACCATTCACACTATTCAGTGCAAGGTGTTTGTATCCAGCTATGTACACCCTGCTGTGTAGGAGTAAATAAAAGTTTCCTATGGAACTGTGCAGAAAAAAGAGACGACTGTAAAGACAGCCAGAGTGCTCTGACATTAATTTGGGGTTACAATCTAACCATTTTTCTCCCTCTCATTGATCCTGTCCGTACCATTTACTTCGGACTGCCACAGAAGGAGACCACATAGTTAGGTGGCATGCTGCTCTTTTCCCACCACATTGAAGGACAGGCAAGTAGAGGGACAAAAAGACAGAGAGAGAAGGAAAGAGTGAGAGAGAAAGAAACAACAGAGGCGTAATTTTCTTCAGTGACCTTGAAAACCCAGGAATTCCTGAACTGGCTCTAAAAAGCTGAGCCTTGCTGAATCTGGGGCCCGGCCACAAGGGGATGAAAAGAGCAGCCGAATGGCCCCCGTCACGCTGTGTTCCCAATCTGTACTCTAATTGAACACAACCATGGGCCTTGTTTTGTCCAGGGAAACAGCTTCACGTTGCCATTAGTGATTGCATTGGGCATGGCTTCAAACGGCGGTGCTGTCTGCTGAGCAGGACCCAGCATCCACATCAAAGACTCTGCTTGCACAAAAGCCCCACCGGCTATAAGTGCTTGCTCTCAGTCAAGGCCTGGCGGAGTGCTCCTCACACCCGTTCTGCTTCTTAACATCCTCTTCTTTTTCCCTATGTCTCTTTCCTGTTCTCTGTCTTTATTTAGCTCTAAAATCTCTTCTTTTGCCAAACTCAGTTACAAGTAAATCCATATTTTCTGGCCACACAAATAGCACATAGGTGGCTTGCCCCAAGACCATGCAAATACCAAGGGGCTGCCTTATTGCCTTAAATATATTCTCGCTCTGAAACTCATCACCTTGAGCTCACCCTGAGCTCAACAGAGCCACAACTATGGTATCTCAATCCCAGTTAACCACACTGCTTCTATTTTAAGATAGCTTTAGACAGAAACAAAGGACAAGTTGACAGCTTTGCTCACCAGTGTTGCTATGTGTGAAGTCCCAGCCCAGGTTCCATTGGCTGTCCAATTCGCCATCCATGCCACCTAGCCCACTGGGAAGGGGCTCTTCACTGTCATAGTTGGATGTGTAGTTCTCCTCTTGTTCCTCTTCAAGCTTTTCATCCTCCGCCACCTCTTTCACTGCCTGGTCTGTACTGTCCTCACCTGAGTCCACATCAGTGTAGCCCCAAAACAGCGGCCAGAACAGCTTCTTACCACCCAGCCAGTCAACCACAGGGGAGGGGGAAGAGGAGGAGATGGGCCAATCACTGTTGCGCTCCTTAACCAGATCCATCTCCACTTCCATCTGAGGGTCGTCCACCACCTCTATGGTCACCTATGATGTAATATTACATGATTTTGCCATTATAGCAAAGAATATAAAAGGTCAAAAAGGTTATGAAGAAAATGAAGGCTTTTCCATGTTAATGTTGTAGGGCTGATTCTCAAGAAACATATGATCAGTGATTTCATCCCACATATATCCTACTTCCTCAGTACACAGTAGCATTCGGAAATGACACAGTTTTTGTTTGTTTTGTTTTGTTTTTTGTATTATTACAGCTGTAGCTTGGTTTGAAGATAGGAAAGCATTTTTGCCAATGACTAGACAGTTTCAAGAGAGGTATAAAATGCTCAGAGATACCACTGGGCTCACCTGAATGTTGGGGTTTTGAGAGCCAGTGTCAGCACTGGCCAAGTCAGGGAAGTTCCTAAGGTCCAAGATGAAAGGTTTGGACTCCTCTTCAGGTTCAGGCTGTGGTAGAACCCCTGGGGAATGTTGCTGGGACCACCTGTGATGCTGCTGTTGCTGCAGTCGATATGAGCCAGTCAACACACTCTGCACCTGGTTCTGCTCTAGATCACGGCCTTCGCTAATGCCACTTGAGGATGTCTGAACATGTGCCTGATAATGAGAAACAAGAACAAGATGTAACAATGTTGTAATGTTATTTGAATGCTATCTGATGAAGAACAATTGAGATTATTCCTTAATGTGGAACACAAAATAAATTGTATCTCCTCGATTCTTCGTGGTCCTGTATTAAGCCCTATGCTCAAAAGCTTTTTTAAACACACTGATTTGACAAGCTCACATTCTCTTTTTTCATATGACGCATCAACTTTGTCCAACCGGAAATCTCCCTACCCCCTTCTTGTCTATCATTGCCTTGTCCATTCATGATTAAACTGCTTTCCCTCATTCTAGAATGTGGCCTGTCCTTAAATGGCTCTGTAGTGGGAGTATATTTTATCAAAAAGAAAAAAGCATATCATCAAATGACTTACAAAAACAATGTTATGCATTATTCAAAATGATCAAATTTGCTCATAACAAATGAATAGATTATTAAAGGGAATGCAAAAAAAAATCTATGTATTCGCTTACATGTGTAAGGACATGCACACACTCTTTTGCTCTTCATGCATTAGAAACATTTGTATGCATTATGCATGTATGCATGCATGCAAAACATGTAATAAGAACTACAAACAGAAATTGCAATAAGAAATTACAGGATAACTAAATGCTGAAAAGGAATACATACACTGCAGTCTCACAGCTAATACTGGGTTAGGCTTAATTTCTGATGTGGTTGGGGCTGCCCTTAACTGTACTCTGTGTCTTGCCTGCCTTTCAGAATCATGTCTGTTTATATTGCAGTGCCACCTGAGGGCCCAAAGGTCATAAAAATGATATATGGCATTATTTTGACAACATTTCAAAAATAAAAAATTTAAGCATCTTTTTGGAGATGGAGAATGACCTTTACATGTCTAAAAAACACGGAAAAGCAAAAAAACTGGAGCTCTCCCCCAGTTTCATGCCAAGTGACTGCAGCATCTTCCTCTGGCTTTCTTCATCACAGCTTTCTGGACTTATTATGGCCTTATATGTCCATGTGACTCTCACAAGGACACTCAGGGCTGGTCTCTGACTCCAATTGAGCCCAAGTCTAGGCTAAATATGACTTTTATTAGTGAAATACCTTTTGCTATTTTGTCCAAGACTAGAAGTCTAGGCTTAATCCCCATCTAAGAAACAAACCCAGAAACAAGCTTAAATGTTGGTAGACATCAACAATTACTCCAGCTAGCATTACTAACCGAAAAAGGAAGAAACGTATTTTCAGTGAAGTTTAGCATAACTTACAACCCAGCTGGAGCCCCCTCAACTGTCATCAACAGAATGGGAGACGTTTATTAATCAAAAAGGGCACAAAGTATGCTGTAATGCATATGCAGTTACTTGGGAAGCTGACCAGACCACAATGACCCATCTGCCTTAACTGATATATGGGAGCACCAAACTATAAGCTACAAAAACTGTAGTGGCTCACCTCAGTAGCAGCGCCGTGTCTGAATCTCGTGGTCGCGCTCTTGTGCTGTCTGGTAGGGAAACACAGCACTAGCTCCATAGACACCACAAATGCAACGCTGAGAGGTACACACACGTTCTTGCTCGCTCCAAACATGCTGCAAGTTAACTGTTCCCGCTTCTTTCAGTCGCACCTGGAAACGTTCTTTTAGCTACCGGTTCGCGTTTTCTTCCTCGATCTTCTCGCCCTAGCGGTGATTAAAAGTGCAGATCTAGCTAATAAACGCAAGCGTGACTGTTCTTACGAGAAGCGCGAAAAAGCTCCTTTCGGGAAGCTTTGCCAAAACATTAGAGTGTGCGCTGCTGTCTCGTCTCCAGCTTGCCGTTTCCAACTCATGCGCCAAGACGCAAGTCACCCAGCGCTTCTCCCTCGTGCGTGTGAGCATGTGCTATTGGTTTGGAGCGGATACGTCCCTTTTAGTTGGCATCCAGCCTTGAGAAGACTCCACAGAGTAAAGCACGGTCGTTTTTAAACACGCCTTTAAAGGCTTTTAGGAACGGCTAGCCCACGCAGTTCTCCATCAGTGCGCACCGATTCATGTTTAGATGCGACTACTGAAGTCACGGTTTCCTCTTTCTTCAGCCCTAACAAATGGAAAAAAAAAGTCTCGTGGCGTTCAGAAGGTTTTGAGACATTGTCCCATGTGGTACATTAACCGCTTAAACTCTAAGAACCGGTTTTGTGGACATGGACTAAGCCCCACACAAAATCTCATTTAGTCCAGGGTCAGACATAATCTGGGTCTGGGAAATTGGGGGGTTGCGGGGGTCAGGCATATTTATGACGATGTTACGGAGCTCCGGAGGGGACGGCGTTAAAATAAAAATTCAACTGAGTGAACGTAGAGCAGAAAAATGACATTCTTATTTAACTCTTTCAGCCGTTTGATTGAAATGCAACCATATTTACAGCCTAGCCTTAAGTAGTATATCACTTTTTTAAAAACTTCTGCACAAGTCAGTCACTGAGATGTAATAAAAGTCATTCTGTGTAGTTTGACATAAAATGGTGCATTGTAGAGAAACTTACCAACTAAGAAGATCTTGAAATGATTCAGGGTTCACAATGTCTACAATACAAACTGCCATTTTATTTACTCTCCAAAAGCACCAGTGCAGTTACGTATGTTCCCTGAGTTTTTATATGCCATGTTATAAATAATCCTAAATCAGAAAAAAAAAAAAAACATTTTCTTTGGGTACTGTTTTGCTTCACAGTGCCCTGAATGTATCACCCCAGTGTAATTGTATTTAAAAAAAAAATACATTTCACACCACAACCTTTTCTCAAAACAATCTTAAAAGTGACTCATGCATCAGCCAACATATTCACATCTAGTTAATGTAATAGCTTTCGATAGGAGCTTTTAGAAGTTTTATCACCACCGACTTTTATCACCACCACGGTGAATAACTCTAATGACTCTGTAGGTATCTCTAGGACAGAAAGTTTCAATCAAACTACTCTAAATGACTTTGCTTACATTATAATGAATACATTTGGATTGAATTCCATTTTATCATGGTGCGAACTACATAAAAATATACACTATACATTTCTCCAGCTGGGTCAGAAAGGCATATTTAACGTACAGTTTCTAAACTGTTGAGAGAGGTTAAGTCCCTCATTGCATATTGATTCATCCTAGTATCTAGGAAAAACTTTTTGGTGAATTAGCTAGCTAAAGCTTGCAATTAAAATGGAAGACTTAACTGTTTGTTAGTTTTGGCTATTCGTGTAGCACCATACTTGAACATGCTGTGACTACAGATGGCATATCATTTCGGCTACGAAAGAAATAAAAAAAAAGAATAAATCCAATCCAATCTTGTAACAAATCTAGCACATATTGTGTCATGTGACGTTGCTGGCTACATATTTTTTCCTGGAGTGTTTGAGTAGTTTGAGCATGATTACTCTTTTTACAATGCTCATCTAAAGTGAAGTGCTTCAATTAAAACTAGCACATTTAAAAAATATTTGTCTGTCTTAGTATACTGATACTGTTTTTTTATCCGCCAATACTCAAGTTTCAATATAGGTATTGGAAAAAAGGAAAAAGACATTGTGTCATCTATGTGTATGATACTGCCTATCTATTAAATGTAGCTGGTAACCTGATCTTGCTAACTAGGTAGTCACTGTTACCAGGAACCTCTGCCATGATTTAATAAAACATGAAACATGACTACCTACCAAGAAAATCTAATGAACGTCAGACCTCAGCTCAATGAATGTGTGGCTGTCTCATATTATGCAGCTTGGATCCATGTCCATCCCACCTTAGGGGAAAAAGCCATACACATACTTGATTGGTTGACTACTGTCAGGAGCATTGAACCCATTCTGCTTTATTTCTATGTAGTTAGAGGGGAAATTATTGAACAGTTAAAAGGTCGGTATAATATTCTTTAATTTTGTTTAGTTCTTTTTAACAGAATGGTCAGTTTTAAAGAAGTCACATTTGACAAACATCACAGCTTCTGTGAAAAAAAAATGTGCATGAGACACATACATCATCATCTGTATCTGCTTCAGGTCCATAATGTAAATCATGAACTGAGTGCAAAACATACAGTCAGACAAATTTGGAATGCCCTTTGTTTTTCCTTCTTCCATCAAAAACAGCACAGTGTCCTTATGAAGATTTGTAATACATATGCGGCCTCTGTGCCTACATCATATTCACGTCACATAACGTCACGTCATCAGTAGTGGGTGCACTGAGGTTATACACTTCTATTACCTTAAACAGAGCTGCTACCAAAACTAATAATAAGGCTTGCTTTAATGGGAGCAGAAGGAACAAACATCATTAATAAATAGAGAAATCCTGTGCATTTTTTCAGTAACTTCTAACTGAGTGAGTGCCCTGTATAAAAGGTCATACTGACCTTGCAAATAATGTGAAACATCAATATTATGCACTCAAGTAAGTGAACAATCAAAATAGAGTCAGAAGTTGTAGAACACAGCACATTTCAGTTTCCAGTTCCAATATTCTATGACAGAAGTATTGTAGACCTCTCATCTTATTTTCCTCACAAATTACATGAGACCATGATAATTAAAAATGTATTACACAGCAAAGCCTTTACATAAAGAATAAATAAATAAACTATGAAATCTTTTTGAAATTGTGCCAGGACATGGAGATTAATGGACCTAGAAAAGTATGTGGTCGCTAAAATGCATAAATATTTGTGTGTTCATAAATGTTCCTTTAGCATCCTGAGAGATGTTCACAGACGTTTAGAAATGCCACAACAATTCATTTCTATAGGTTGTCTGACTTTCTTGAATATTGAATTACCATGCTTCTCTCTACAGAACCTTTCAAATTATGACTTACGGGTGTGTAGGTCATATTTAGTTCCTAATCACTAATTATGCTTTGGCAGTTTAATAAGGTTTAAATCCAATAAACAAAAACACCTTATTTTACATTTCCTTTTGAAAAGATTCTAATAATATAAATATTTTACAGATTACCCTAAAACTCTGTTGCACTAATCAGCTGAAACAAGATAGTGTTGCAATGCCATCTATACGCTTCTGTAGATGTGAAATGTTACATTCTTAACCATCTCTTTATAATACTTAATCACAGTTGGTTGCTCTATATTGACTGACATTTATAGGAGTTCTCTTCGTAATAAATAATATTATTAGAGCACACAAAACGCATATTTCCTTAGTAAAATGTATGTTTTTTTCTCTCAGCCTCAACAGAAGCTCTGGTTGAAAGCAGAAAACAAAAAACTTCCAAATTCCAAAAACCCTGGACCTGTTTGTTTATGTTACTACTGGTATTGCTATTACTGAGTGAAAAGGGTAACAAACAAGACTCAACATCTGATTAGTTAATAGGGCACATTTTGATGCATCCATCCCATAAACACAACCAAATAAAATGTAAAAATCTAGCTTTGTTGTGTCCCATTAGTGGCCTATAGAACATGAACAGTCTGATATGTGGTCAGTCCACCTTTTGGTTCAGATGGCAGACTGATTGGGTTAGTCCTGATGGCTATCCAGATATGAAAACTGTTTGGTTTCTTCGTTGCTTGGCCTGGCATGTCGAGAGTACTTCAGCTGCAGCAGGTCCCCAACTTCACTGATGGCATTTAGCGCCTGAAAGCCAGAAGTAGAGGACAGAAGGGTGGGTTACTAATGGCTCAATAGCACTGCGTTGGCTTCACTGGCTTATACACGGTAGGATGACTATGAGGTGAGTCAGAGCTCAATAGCTTGTACATGAACGAATAGAAGGCGTGGAGTGCAACAAATTTTAAATCTTTCCCAGTCGGAATAATATAGAAACATACCAAGAACTGAAGCAGAGTGCTATTATGAGTCAAGACTTACATAAATGTGAATTTGCATACAATGTTAGCAGAACTGGAGACAGAGACAAACAGGTACATTACTTCAGAATCGAAAGGACAAAGGAAACGAAAGTAAAGTCACTATGATTGTGTCTCTGTCTAGCTTTCAACAGTATGAAATTTCTTAATGTATGTTGCAACACTGCCAGCCACCTGGAAGCAATTTACTTTTTCAATTTCTTCTCTCCCCTCTTCTCTCTCATACCTTAACTGATTTATTAACTCTCAAGTAAAGAGGAGGGAACAGAGAAAGACAGAGTGTGACAGAGAGAGAGAGAGCGAGAGAGAGAGATAGATATCGACCAGTACAAACACTATGTGAAACCTGGGGAAACTGCTAGGGGATGTTGTGAATGAGAGTAACTCTGTGTGTGGTTAGATCAAGCACAGTGACTCACAGTGTCCAGCATCTCTTTGGTGTGGGCAGCAGACACACAAAAGCGTGCTCTGGACTCGATTATGGGTGTGGCAGGGAATCCAACCACCACTGTGCCAATGTTCCTCTTCAACATCTCTCTGCCAAATGCTCTAAGGAAGGCAAAAGAAGAGATAGTCAATGCTTAACAGTCAAACTGAAGGACAATAAAGAAAAAAAAATGCAAGCAACTGAACTAAACTGACCAAATTGTAATGGGTCTTAAAAGTAAAACTACATCCGTAGAAATTTTCAGACATATTTAGTGATCCTTTATTCTTTAGGTTTAGTTTAGTACTAAAGCTACGAACCTAATGTAGCTAACAAGTAACTGAAGCGTATTCTCTCCGAGTAATATTATGCAAAGTGCATGCCTAAAAACAGCACACGTGCCTCAAGTCAAAGTGTAAAGCACAGGTGTCAAACTGGGCTCATTCTGGGCCACAATCCTGCAGAGCTTCTCTTTCATTAAAGAAACACTATATGATTCTGGAGAACGATTGCTGATATTTGAACTCAACAGCAAAACAAACACACTCCTCCTTTCAGTGCTCCTTCAGAAGCTCTGTAAATTCATGGTTGTGCATTGTTGAGGCCAACACGCTTTTTAAAGATCTTTGTGACCATAAAACCCCTTGCAAACATTGTACACACAAATACCATGTTAAAACGTTCAAATAAACAGCAAGTCACGTAACTAGTTGTGGGTTAGAAAACTGTTGCTACAGTTTCTGCTGTAAAGCTAACCAGTTGCTATCACAAACATTCACAAACAGGACAAAACAATACTGACATAGAGCCACGTGGTAATTATTCAACCCCTATTTAATATTGCTGGTTTTTAAATCACTGCTAGTCTGTAAGGCTAAAAATTGTACTACAACACAATTGAGCCTTTTTGAAACTCTTTAACGACAATTAATTTGCTTCTGTGATACATATATAAATCCCACCCTTGTTTAAGCTCAGCAGCAAACTTGGCAATAAAAAAAGCTTTCACAAAAGCTAAGAAATTATTTAATTGCACCAAAAAGGCAATGCCTATAAGAAGATATCCTAGACACTCCAAAGACACACAGTTGGAAGTATTAGTTTAAAACTCATGGCACAGCAGCAAATCTACCTGTCTACAGAAGAAAGAACAAAAAGACAAATCAGACATTTGAACAGAACACCTGAGAAAAACCCTCACATTACTGCCAAAGGCTTGCTGTATGACCAGATGAAAACAAGAACAAATGTATCAATTAACACAACACGGCAAGAACACAAAAAGCAAGGATTTGGTGACACTGTATTTTGGTAACATTGTATTTAAATATAATTATTGTATTTCACCAAAATACTTCACTTGATATAACTTACACATCTGACTACTTTTTCATTTTGCACACTTCATTCCCTTAACAATGTCTGACTTATTGCATTTTTGCACATTTTACTTATTTAAAAATATTGGCTGCTAGAACAGTGTATCAACCAAATACTGTATTCCATTGCTATTCTGGCTGCTACCCCAGTAGATGCTATGCTTATATATGCTAGGCTATCTGCTAATATGTCATAGTACATGATTACATCCTCCTTTGCACAACTCCACATATTCTTCTGTACCATGTACTGCCGGTGTTCTGTTCTGTATATATATAGTTTTTTTTTTTATTGCACTGTATTGTCTGCATACTGTCTGTATATTGTATTGTTTTGCACTTTCCTGCAGTGTTCCTGTGTTGCACCATGGTCCTGGAGGAATGTTTTTTCGTTTCACTGTTTCCTTGTACAGTATATAGCTGAATTGACAATAAAGCCTCTTGAACCTTCCTGCCTAGATATCTCATCGCACACCACTCGGCCAAAAAGCAAACAAAAAGTCAACCTGAATTTGCAAGAAGGAATTTGGACAGGATTGTGGAGTTCTGAGAGCCAATTTTATGGAGTGATAAAACTAAATTAGAACTGTTTGGACCCATGGATCAGTGGTATATCTGGCAAAAGAAAAGCAAGGCTTATAACAAAAAGAACATCATCCTCATGGTCAAGCACAGAGGTGGGACAGTCCTGTTGTGGGGTGTTTTGCTGCTGCAGGAACTGGCAGCTCTTGAATGTGTGACTGATATTACGGATACTTTAAAATATACTTGGTTCAGGAATTGGTCCTGGAATGTCCTCGAGTAGCCATTTTAGTACCTGGATTTAGTCCCATTGAAAGCCTTTGGAGGGATATAAAGAAAGCTGTGGTGGCACAGAAACCAAGAAACATTAATGATCTGGAAGATTTTGCACACGAGGAATGGGCACAAAATTCCAATAGAGAAATGTCAGAAGCTTGTGATCATCTACCAGAAATGTTTATTGGAGGTTATAAATTATAAAGCTGCCCCATGAAATACTGACTTTGGAGGTGAATAATTTTGCACATGGACATTTTTGGTGATTTTTCCTTAGACCTGTTAGCAGTAAACTAAACTTTATGTTGTGAAAATCACTTGAACATGTAGTAATAAACCTTCTTTGACTATTTATTAAAGCCTTGGTTGCTATATTTTCATTACACTGTATTTATATAAACAAACCGCCTTGCACTTTGAGGGAATTGAATCATTTTGAGTGCAACTGTGTACATACATAGTCTAGCACCTGCATGCTCACCATGAAGCCATGCACTTGTAACTTGTGCAAGATGTGGCTTGTCACTGACTTACTGAAACTATCAGGAATGTATCTGAAAAAGACGTCATCTAGATGGCAGCATAGGTACCTGCAAAACGCGTATGTAGCTCTAAGCATTAATGTTGCCTTCACAGATGTGCAAGTTACCCATGCCACTGACACTAACGTACCATGTCCATCTCAGATGAGCTTTAGTCCAGACAAGTTGGTGGTTGTTCTCGATACTGTTGATATATGGTTTCTGCTTTGGATAGTAGAGTCTTAACTTGTATTATTGTATGTATTTGTAGGTGCAGCAACGACTGTGTTTACTGACAAGGTTTTTCAGAATTACTCCCAAACCCATGTGGTTATATTCTTTACAAAAGCATGCCAGTTTTAAATGAATTGCCATGATCAAAGGTCATGAATATTTAATATTGGTTTTAGGCCTTGCCCCTTATGCACAAACATTTCTCCAGAGTCTTAATCTTTTGATGATGTTATGGACTGTAGATGGTGAAATCCCTAAATTTCTTGCAATTGTAAGCCGAGAAACGTTGTTCTTAAACTGCTAGAATACCTGCTCATGCAGACTGAGTTGTAAATGCTCCTATGTGAAAGCTCCTTTTCGACCCAGTCACGATAGCATCATGTTACCTATTTACATGTATCCTATTTACCTTTGGAAAGTTCCAAAGCAAGTGTTTTTGTTCATTCCACAATCTTCCCAGCCTTACATTGCCCTGTCCCAACTTTTTTGGAATATGTTGCAGGCATCTAATTTGGAATTACTGTATATTTACAAACATCAATAAAGGTGATAAGTTAACATACAAATATCTCTTCTTTGTGGTGTTTTCAATTAAATAACTGTTAAAGACAGTTTGACACCATTTTCTGTTTTTTTTTTTGACATTTTATGTACTTTCTCAACATTTTTGGAATTGGTTTTGTAATACTAATAATGCAATCTTTCCTCACTGCTGGATGGGTATATTCCTTTAAAGACAAACACAACCAACCCGATTTTAGCAGGCATGTAGAGCATCAGGGGTACCACAGGTGAGTTGTTGTTCCCGTAGATAATAAAACCCATTTCCTGGAGTCTCCTACGGAAGTAGGTTGTGTTCTTGGAAAGCTGACAGAGTCTCTCTTGACCTAGAAATGATAAAAGGCAATGTGTCTGAAAATCAAGATGATGACAGATTATGTTGCTCTGCCTTACTTGTAGCTTATTCATAGTTTTCCCGTGCTGTTCTACCCTTTCTGTTCATTATACATGACATTTACTTATCTCCAAAGTCTGGCACATACATGCTGCTTGATGCTTAGTGCTCAATGCTACATTGTGTGTTAACAAAAACCCAAACACCCAGCCAGTTTTTGCTCTCTTTGTAACTAAACCCTTTCAAACAATATGTTAGTGTCAACAGTCAGTGGATGACAAGAGAATTGCAAACATGCGTCTTCAAAGGCTTCCGTGACCACGCATCCAAAATGAAAAGAGAGTGGCTTTTTTTATCAGGATGCCTGAGGAATTGGGAAAGGTCTAAACTCTGGAGACTGATCTGCTGGACAAGAGAGGCCACCGCTCACTGCTCTATTACTTTTCTTGTCTTTGACATTCCATTCATTGTGAGAGGCTCTACTAGAAGAACTGCCCCAATGCCATCATATATTGGACTCTGGGATCAAGAGCTTGAATTTACAAGAGAGGATATCATAAATAACACAATATGGCTGCTAGCAATTAACCCAGCATGCTCTAAATGTTTCCGTTACTTTTGTTACTTGATCTGAAGTTCAAACAGGACCCTGCATGCTTCTCTTAGAAAGCAAACAAATCAAAAAGGCCTTCATCAAGGCATGAGTGTTCAGTTTAACGTGTTATGAGATGGGCGAACGTGCCTAGATCTGGGCTGCCTGTTTTGAGGGCATTGTAGAAGAGTCTTCTGAGGGGCTTATTACTGTGAACTTTAGAGCCTAAACAAGGACAAATCTCTTTCAGCCATTACATCGATAGTCTCCCACACATCTGAAAGCCATATAGCACCTATAGGTAGAGAATTTACACTACAACTTGAAGAGCATCAGAGCCAGCATTGGACTGAGAAAAGGATTCTCTAGAGCACTTCCATGCCTCATATAACCCATTTTGATGGCTCTTTCTCCCTCTCTTTGACCAGAGCCTTACAAAACCTTCAAGAGCTTTCAGATGTGCTTTGTTTGTGAGGGTGTCTGAGAGACACATGGCATTGCAAACAACTACTCTGCTCAAATAAAATCTTTTTAATACACCAACAGCATTAAGAAAGACGTCTCACAACACTGCAGTACCATAAGGACTAGGGATGCAATGACACACAAATTTCATGAAACGATACAGTACTGTGCTTAAGTTAAAGACCATTCCTCATTTCATTTTCAGTCAAAAGAGCCATTACGTAAAAGTTATTCTTTTTTCAGGAGACATGTCTGAGATTAGATATAGGAAAATCCAATTGTATAAAGACGAAGTAAAATCAAAAAACAAGTGGGAAAACAAGAACTTCCAAAACTGGAGTTAAAAAAAATAATAATTTAAAGACGAAGAAAAGGGAACTCCTAGCAAAGAAGCTCTAGGTGTTCTCAGAACAATGGACTGGCCACCCTAAAGCCCAGACCTCAACATCACTTAATGTGTTTGTGATTACTTTGTTCATGAGAAGGTAAAAATGCAACAAATTTCTATGAACTTTGGGAATGTGGAATAATACCCTTGGCAGATTTCTTTGAAAAACTGAAAACAAGTCTCCCGTAAAGAACAGAAGCTGTAATAAAAGCGAAGGGTGAATACACAAATACTGAAAAATCTGACATAATATTTATTTGTTGAGGCTTCTGTGTAGATGTACTGTGTTTACACTGTATTTACACTGTTTTCACTACCTCAGTAACTGTTTTTTTACCTCAGTAACTGCTGTGTATATGTATGTTATCTGACGTAACTTACAGATCACAGCATGTTAAATATGTCTGCACCTTATTCCACTACCTCATGTCCAGAAATCTGTGCTGTGTCGGTGCTGCATTGTCCAGTCTGTTCCGTGTCTAATGTCTGTTTAATTTAGCGTTTTTATTTTATTGTTTCTAGCTTAATTTTTGTTTGCACACTGTCTGCACGTTCGCACTTTGTAATTTTGTACTTTTGTACTTTTTGTTCCTTGTTGCACCTTGTTCCTGGAGGAACGTAATTTCGCTCCACTGTGTACTTGTATATAGATGGAATGACAATAAAAGCCTCTTGACTTGACTTGTGTAATTTACTGTTACATACTTGGTTTCTGCTTTTCCGCCTGCTTTACTGATCCCCAACTATAAATACAAATATTGAAAAAAGGTCTGATGTATCAGGTATGGTATTACAGACAATGTATGAGGATCAGCAAAATAACCGTGCTTACCAGTAATTTATGCAACTGCTGTGTGCTGCACTTGACTCATCAGGAAACTACAAAACCTGTATGAACCAGTAACAGGGCTACATATAAAATTACATAAACCATATGTCCCATATGCACAGGCTAGCTCTGTGGAGAGCGGTACTAAAATCGACTAAGGACTGCTGAACACCAAGCAAATGTGGACAGCAAGGAAAAAAATGTTTTCTTTTTTGTTCATGCATAACAAATAATGACAGAAACTACCAATTACTGAATAAACATAGCATATGGGTATAACATACTGGCTTATGGAATATGAGGACCTATTACCCAGTTAGACAGTAAGAAACAGTCTAAAGGTCAGACTATTATATAACAATGACAAGCAGGTATATACTCTCTTGCACACATAGCATGACTTCATTTCAATGTACTGAAAGGTATCTGCTGATGCAGTGGTTGCAAATGAGTTTTTAACAACTAAAGATTGGAGTAATTAGATAAGGCAGAGACACAACATGGAGAACAAACTTGAACAACATGCAGTTGTCAAACTGGACCAACCCTTATGCTCTGCGGTCTATGCTGCCACCTTGTGGATTATTTCTGCTTTTACAGCAGAGTGACCCCGGGTCTCTTACTACCTACTACCACAGTTAAAAGTTTTAAAACTGTTTTTGGAAGTGTAATACTACCGCAAGATATTTTTCACTATAAAAGTATACTGTTTCTTTGAAGTGTAATATTAATGCAGTAAAGTTGGTGTATAGCCAATCTTTAGCTGACCCAGTTTTCAATTTTCCTGTGTTCTTAACTATAGGTTTCATAAGTGCATCCAAGATGGAACAGCTAACATCCCTACATAATATCACAATTAATCTCAAAATTACTAACATCCCTACACAATACCATTCAATTCATAGCCACACTAGTCTACATAGCAGTCACTTAAAGATGACTGTTTTAAATTCAGCTTTTACAATCCACTCATACATCATTCCTCCCTACCAGTGGTGTCTAGTCTAAGTAGGTTATACTAGCCTGGCTAACTCATAGCAACACTTAGTTAGTAATATAAATACTAGGGATGCATGATAAGATTGGAATCACATTGGTATCAGTAGATATTTGCAGAAAACAAGAAGATTTATCCAATATTTCTAATTATCATTTGATATTTATGGTGCTCTGATAATCTGCTAAAATGTCTGTTTGTTGTTACTTATTTTACTTTATTTGTTAACCCTACAGAAATAAAGCTTATATTTCTTCATATTGTTAATCCAGGTATTTCAATATTCCGTTAAATGTTTATTTACAGGCATGTTGACTACAAGAGATTAAAAGAAAAACACAGACTACGTGTGAAACATAATTTACACATGCGCATCTTAATACCTCAGAGAGTGTGTTTTCTGACAATTAAATGTACAACTTAATGGTCATAAATACGGTCTATCGGCTGAGGGGACCTACTAGAGGCCCTTGCCTTGAGCAGCTGCAAAATGGACTGCCCTACTGGAAAGTAAAGACAGAAGACACTCTGTGCGATTCGAGTCATTCACGGCTCAAGCCTATAGACTCTGTCACTCTCTCACTGTTTGATAATCACCTTACTCCCAAGTGTCAAGCTCTGTTATAGCTCATTGGTAGAGAATAAGTAGGAACATGTTTCTGAGCAGAACACTCAAATGACAGTAATGATAACAGTACAAAAAAGTAAGTGGCGCTGCATATTTATATATCAGGCTTTCCTTCTAATTAACAGAACTACCAGCAGGAAGGTTAGACTGAGTAAAACACGTGGCTATAGTCAAACTAACAAGAGATGCTTAAGGGAGGCTGAAGCTGGCTTCTTAATTATGTCTGTAGACATGAGTGTAAAGTTTTGAAATGAGAGCACATACCAGGAAAAAAAATATTTGACTAGGCTACACAGTTAATTCTTGGTTCTTTAACTATATAGAGCTGCCTAGGAGCAGGGTAAAATACAACACTTTTCATTTAAATTTCTGCAAAATAACTCTTAATATATTAATCACTTTGACTTTGTGGTCTGGAATATTACCTTCAAAACATAGGAGGTCTGCATGTGGAAAGTTACATCAATAGTATACAGAACAGCTTATAATCTATAATATCCACATAGAAATACGAAAGCACTATTGACAAAACCTACCTAATGTTGTGCCATCCTCCCCCATGATGCATTTCATGGAAGTGATAATCTGCTGGGCCACTGGAGGAGACATGGATGTTGCATAAATTGCACTGTGAGAGTGTGTGCGCAGGTAGTCGATCAACTCCTGAACCAAAAACATAAAAGAAAACCAAATACATGCATCTGTGACTCTTGAGAGTCTGAAGCTATTGTGTGAGTTTGACATGAAATAGTAGATGACTGGTAAGACCTTTCTGTTACCAAAACAAACACAATGGGCCAACCAGTGAGTCACACTGCAAAACTGCAGGCTGGCGAACCATTGCGTTAAACTTGGGTCTTAGGTACTTTTAAAAAGCAACAATAGAGGCACATTTCTGTTCAAGTCATATGTTTAAATTACATTTTTATGTGTTGGAGACCAACAAAGCAACAGTGCAAAAGGAGAATTACTGTAGAACATGTAGAATGCAGTAACTGCCATAACCCTCTGCTTTGCAAAAGTCGTATCTTAGGCACCTAAGCAAACTTTTTAAAACTATTTATTTTCACAATAATCTTTGATTTTGCCAGTAAAAATATCATGTAACATTAAAAAAAAAATCATGCAATAAAAAGTAAGAAGTCTTGTTTTCAAAAAATAGTTTACATCCTTTGAACTGGATAGAAGTACACCTGATTTAATGTAATGTATTGTTTAGTATTGATTAGCCAAACTACGTACTGGAAAATAATCAAAAATAATACTGGGCTTCTTGTAGGAGAGGTTTGGAAATGGTTAAACAAAAACACTTACATGCACAAATTTGTATTACCGTTATTTGTATTTATTCTAAAATTCGTATTTTTCTAAGCAAACAAATGCTCATCGCCCAGATAAATCACTTTTGAAATATATATTACATTACATTATATATAATATATAATGGTATGTACCAGTATATAGCCTATTTGAGCAGGAATGTCTGTCATCTGAAACAGATAAAAATAAATTAGGAATAATTCATGAACTACACGAGTTTATTATATTTCCAAGTATTTAATTCAAGTGGCCCGCTTCTAAGACCATGTTTACGACAGCCTACTTACATGAGAGAATAATTTACTTGAAATACATTTAAAGACTGACATCTACATTTGCATCCTGCGTTGCAGACAGACACACTTCACAAGCAGTGATGCATAGGCAAAAGTGCAGTCGTCAAATTGCAAATGGGCACCTTTTCTATAATCTGATGCTTTTTGCAGATAGGCAGTTGTACTTCCGTGGGTGCATGACTGTACAGTCAGGAAAAGTGGCCTCTTTGAGTAGGCAAGCATATGAGATGTCCTTATGGTATGTTTTTTTTGCATTGGCATAGGTGATTCTGACAGCATCCTGGATTTACAAGAACTTTCCTCGATACTGATACTCATGGTTGGATAACCTACCTTATTTCCTCCTATGTAGCCACCAGCAGCACCAAAGCTTTTTGTAAAGGTGCCCATCATAATGTCAACATCACATGGGTCCAAACCAAAGTAGTCCACCACACCTCTCCCCCCTGGTCCTAGAGCTCCAATGCTGTGGGCCTCATCCAAGTACAGGTAGGCTCTATATTTCTTCTTCAAGGAAATGACCTCAGGCAAACGCACTATTGAGCCCTCCATACTGAACAAATCAGAAACACATAAACAAAAATTATAAATTTTTATCTAGCCGATCTGCCCCTCTATTGTTTCTAGTGCTGTTTCAGCACGAGTTTGACTAAAATAACATTACACACAGTTACATACAATATGATTTCATGTCAGGTCATTGATATTTGACACCACTAAGCAGGGACATCAAAAATGACTTTGACTCCAATATTTGGCCTTCTATAATTCTAATCACTGAGACGGGTTTATCGGTATTATGGATCCACTAAAGCAGTGGTTCTCCGCTCTACTCCCAGTTCACCTTAAGAAGAGCTTAGGGTAATTTTTCATTAATGAGATCAGCCATGTTGGGAGCAGGTCAAACGCTAAAATGTGCAGGACTGTGGTATGCCAGGACCAGAGGCCGTATTACAGAAAATTCTTAAGTCTGAGAGCTGCTTTGTTGTCATGGAAACTGAAGCTGGGAGAGAAGCCATTACAGAACAACAGTTCTTATGTCTATATTTTTATCTTATGTCCAGATAAGAAAAGGGTATTACAGAAACATCCTAAGTTGCCAAAATACACATTTTTCTACACTGAAAACGGTGCTATGACTTGTGCATTTTTTTTCTAACAGCATTTAAAAGCCCCAGACGCTGCAGACATGATCTCCACCGTGCCCTCTTATTACCTTAGTGTGTTAATGTTGATGATAAAATATTACAGTGAAGGTGGTAAATAATGAGGAGACGGAGCTGAACGCGTGTCTGTTTATTAGGAGGAATAACGTTAGCGCGCTCGGCTGAAGTGTTTGGGAAAAGAAACAAAGTGGGGAGCGGCGACGCTTTGACCTTTTTTTTAACCTCAGTAACGCTAGCTAACTTTAGCTGTCTGACTAACTTGATTACGTGTTTAGGTTTCAGCTGTGCGCATACGGTCAGTTGCTAGGTAACAGACACGACAGTTGATTGTCGACTTCAATAGAGTAAGTTAAGATTTCATAACTTGAGAAAAGAAACGATGCTGTAAGATAAGATTCTTAAATTAAGCTAAGATTTGCTTCTGTAATACGAATTCGTAAAAAATCTTATCTTGACCTGTCAGATCTTAAGTTAAGACAAAAAGATAAGAATTCTCCCCAGGACCTTATCTAAAAGGGCCGGTTTGGTTAATTCTAAACAAGCTGGCGCACACCTGATTCCACTCATTCAATCAGTTGGTCCCAGTTTTCAAACAATTTATCACGTGTGCTCTTGCTTTCTTGGAAAGAAACCCTGCAGCCACACCAACCATTTGCAGATAAGATTGGACACCCCTACATTACATAATAGACACAGACATATTTAGGTGTGTGCAGAGATGGGGTATGTGTAAATTGCCTCTCTACTTCAAGACTTACAAAGAAGTGAGCTGATAGAAAAGTGGGGCTAGTCTTGCAAGCCTACTTTAAAAGGCAAGGGTCTTTTGACTAAAAATAACCAGCAATCAGACTAAAACCAGTGCACAGAAGTGTGTACACATGGACATGTGGATAACTTATGAGAATGGAACTGACAAAATCCTTATGACTATGGCCAGGTTAGTGAGCAACAGATGTCAGATGATTTGTGTAATGTACAGGTGCAATCACCACACCTGTAAATTCCTTCAACTAGAATGAGAATTTTCTTCCAGGGTCGGTGGGTTCTGGGCTGGCCGTGAACTATAGCATCCATCAGTAACTTCTCCAGGCTCTGCATATCTGAGAGTGTGAGTGAGTGAGTGAGAGAAAGAGAGTGGGAGAGAAATAGAAAAAGAATATCTTTATGCACTGTACATTGACTGATTTGGGCCCAGTTTAACAAAAGCATCTTAGCGTTAAGATCAAGATCATGCTAACTGGTAGTTAGATTCTAACAGCTGCAACTGACAATAGAATTCCTAGAATTCTTTGTAGTTTGTTTTGTTTTTAACTGGTAAGTTTTGTTTTCTTATAATTTCATTAGTTCTACTTCCATTACAAATGGTTACATGCTAATAATAAAGGTTTGTATTGGATACAAATTGTATTGGATAGCTTGGTGCAATTCAAACCCTCATTATGTACAACTTCAAAGTTTTACTGTTGTTTTAGCATCAGGATTTTTGATAATACTGATGTGAGTTTTATTGCCCAGGCAGTAAATCGATCAGGAACTGAAGATTTGTATATGAGTTCAACAGACATTATGTAATTCCTATAGATAAGGTGGCATTCTGGGAATTAAGGGAAAACAGAAAGCATTGTCCAGCTCGCTCAGGTTTGTTGAAAGTGCAGTGAAAAGTGCTGAAGGTGCTACTCAGGTGAATCCCCATACCTACGTTATGTACCCTCATTTTTGAGTTCAACAATCATATCTGTATACACTGGTATATGTTTGTAGTATGACAATATACACTTTGTCTTAAGAATTCATACCCAACAAAATACAATGCAAGATGTAAAAGACCATGAGTCAACTTGGTTGCTCCTGCTGTATTACTAGAGTGGTGGCAAAGTTTTATTCAGCTTGACATTTCAAAAAGATTTGATAGTAATATGCTGTATTGCAATGTGCACAAGAGTCGATTGTCCCCTTCGAATTATAAGGTTCTATCTGACATTTTTGTCAAAATTGAGTTATTCACATATTCTTCTTAATTCTTCTTAACTTCTTAACTTTATTTGAGGTGTTTTTTCAGTTGTATGCATTTTTGGACTCTTTATCAGTCCAAAACTCTACTCAAACTCTAACATAGTTCTATAAGGTTCTATCTGCGAGCCAATCAGCACTTCGAATACACACAAGTGGACCAATCAGACTCTGCTACTTCGTCATGTCACCGCGCTGGTCAGTGACTGTGGAGAAAGGAGCACAGGAGTCAAATATGAGAAAATGTCACACAATGCAAAGTTTAGGAGAAATTTCAAGATGGAGGATTTCATTGATGACCTCATGAAGGACAACAGTACAAATGACAACCAAGTTATGTGTTTCATTTTAGACCTTGCTGAGGAGTTTTATATTCATTGTTAGCTGCCACACTAGCCAGGTAACGCTAGCTTGCTAATGTTAGTCTGCCAGCTAATGCTAACATTAGGAGACAAGTATTAAAGGATAAGTTTGGGTTTTTGCAGAAAAATCTTTCCAACAGTTACCTCTGTATTAAAATATTAATGATTGCAGAATCATTGTAAAATTAGATTTTAATGTAATGCTGATAGTTTTTTGTCTCTTTTTATTTTTGTGATGACCCTGATCCCTGACATGCTAAATGTATTTTCATTTTTCTCCAGGCTAGTGACAAGGTAGAGGTAGCAGAAAGAGGGGAGTGGAGCCATGGGTCATTACCAGACATAACAAGGGCCACACCTGTGGAGCCAGTGGCTTGCAGATGGACAATATTACAGTGTTTTGTTGAAAAAATGAGCCAAGGCTATAAGGCTCAGAACTTGCCAACTTTATGATTTATAGGTATTTTATGAAACTGTGATGAAACAATCATTTTTAATTGTTAGCGGAAACTGAGTTGTTGCATTGTTTGAAATGACAATTGTCTATGTAATAATTAACTATTTAGTTAAAATGTATTTTTAATAATTAACAATTATTAATAATGATTAAGAATAATACATTTGTATATTTGTATGTCTAAGTTTATAAAACTGTGAAACATGAAAACATGTTGCTGAAACTCTGTCTCCTTGCAGTTCTTTAAATGCAAGGAATTGTGTTAAATTTGATAAATGTTAACCCTAAGGGTAATTAAATAGGGGACATTTGAACTGATAGCTGGTCTCTGTCTGAATAAAGAAAACTTAAACTAAAAAGATGATTTGTCCTAAAACAAGAAATAAATGTCAAAAATAAATTAATAAAAATAAATGTCATAAAAAATGCTATAAAAAGGCATTAAATTTAACTTTCTGATCATGTAGACACTCTGTTACAACATTAGTTTTATATTTAAAAAAATTACAAGTAACATGCTTGTGTTCCTTGAAAATCGTTGCTTCTTTTCATGTTTTTGTCAGATAGAATCTTATCATTCAAAGCAGAAAGTGAGTTCTTAGGATTAGAAGGTTCTATCTGCATTTGACCTGTTCCAAAAAAACTAATTTAAAAAGTTGATAGGATTGTGATATTGTACATTTAGAATACATTTAGGGTGTCTGCCATTTTCATGTATGATACAGACTTGTTCCACATATCAGTTTTGCTATTTAGAATGCAAAATCTTTGAAGCTCAATATCTCAAAACTGCTCAGAGCACAGATAGAACCTTATAATTTCAAGGGGGCGTGATGTGTGAAGCACAAGCAGAATATATATTGTGAAAAGTACAATGAAATGCACAAAGATCAAAAGAGACAGCTTACTCAGTTTACAAAGATGCTTTAACTGCAATGAACTTACTGTTGTGTTTGAAGACCCGAATAGTGGAACCAGACAGACGTGCCCCCAATACCAGAGAGGCATGGTTTAGCTCATCGCTCAGAATCAGGCAGCCCTACAGGGTGAAAACACACACATACCTTAATACAAGAATTCCAATAAACCTTTAAAAATCATATCATGATCAACATACACAAACATAGGGCTGCCCAAATAATTAATTATTTATTAAAAAGTATTTATTTATTTATTGCCTTGGCATTTGTTTTCCTAGTTCAGAAAAAAAATGTAGGTTAAACTGAATTCCATCAGCAAAGGTCTTGTTAGAACATCGATTAATTATTATTACACAAAATATTAAAAACTGAATGCATCACAAATTCATGAAAGCCATCCATATATATATTATTTATTTTTTTTTCTTAACAAGTAACATCATTGCGTGTTTATTAATATGACAATGGTAGGGCTGTCCGATACATTCCAAATATCTCCATGTACCTGTTGTGTAAATGCCAGTAGGCTACCTATTTCTCCTAGCAGTCTTGGTTTGGTGAGCATGGGGCTGGCCTGTCAGCCTTCATCTAACCAAATGAGCAGTAAAAAAACATTCATTCAATAATGAGCTGTGGGGCATGATCATGTTGGCCCCATGCTGAGAGTAGCCAATAAAAAATAATAAATTGACATACGTCCAGACATTTAATAGACATTGTTTATGGTATGAGCATTGCTAAGCAGCTAGCCATTGTTCCTCATCAGGTGTGGTAGCCAGTCATAATAGCAAGGCAATATAACGAGTCAAGTCGAAAGCATAATAAAAGTTAAATTTGGTACCTTGCCATTAGAGCAGAAATTAGAGATTAAACGTTTGGGACCACACCAGCCAGAGGATTTCAACATCATTCAGTCTGCAAAGGACAAAAACTGCTCCTTCAATCCAGAGAGGTTCAAGAGAAAAACATGGCTAACTGTAAGTGTAGCTAAAAACACTCTTCTGCTTTCCTTGCCTGCCCTTGCTATGCCATCACTTGAATTCATTCATGGATTGGTGGACTTTGAGAGAAAAGTTTGCCCAGATGAAAGATTGTTGTGCATCTTTTCTTTTCAAGCAGTGAACATCACTGGTGAGTCATTTTGCATTATTACAAGGCGTGTTATTCCTAATGCCCGGAAAGCAATGTCTGCTCTGAAATGTTGCTTTGGATATGTATTTGCAGACCACAATGATTGTATACTGCTAGATAACTTTGGATTTGTATTGCGATAAGATGATAACAAGGTTTTGTGAAATCTAATATTGTTATCATATCATTCATATTCCTGTCTCCACTTCCACTAACTCCTGCACCACATTACTTTAATTTGTGAATTTGTAATTTTATTGATGGAGTGCGTTTGTGTTTGGATCAGGTTTGTGTGTGTGTAGTTTCATTGACGAGTCGGCTGCTGCCCCTATACAGTTTATTGTGCCCCACCAGGCTTTCTGTGGCAGAGACGCCATGGGGGTTGTCTATCTAGCATCTAATTCAAACATAGCTGAGCTTACAAAAACAATTGTGTTTACTGTGTAACAGGGTGTGCTGGTGTGGTTCATCAGAAACTTATTTTATTGTCTGTGATCCCTTTCCTACTCCTGTGGGCTGTATTTAAAAGTAGACTTGCATTTAAGGCTGCATAATGTGGACACAAAATAAGATCTGCAATAAAGTTGCAATAACCAAGTCAGATATAATATATCACAATTAAACATAATTTTGTCTCTACATGAAAGATGTTATTCTGTTAATGCAGCCCTTCATGAGTTTTTATTGTGTAACTCATATGATTAATCATGAGGCCCTATTTGCCACCCAAGAAAGCATCACTGATAGCTATTCATGTCCTGAATGCTTCTTTTAATTAGATTTCTTATTTTTCCCTGGCAACGCTGCTATCTGTCTATAACAGTTTTATACTGCATTTTGCAGAACGTGCCCCATGCAAATCAGATATTACTCTAATTCGGGCTCCCCTGTATAAATAATAGGAACATCACTTGAGCTGCACTGAACCTATGCTTATCGAACTGAAGAATAAAGAGTGGCAGAAGTGGCAGAAGATGGAAAAACAGCATGAAATTAAATTACATATGCTTTCATATGTCTGAACAGCAAGCACCAACATATGTAATCATTTTGATTTGATCATATACTACTGCACTAACTGTGTTACATAACCAACAAATATTAACATACTGTAGCAGGAAACTGTACCAAGATTTCCTGGGAGAAAATGCAGTTTTTACATTTGTGAGCAAAATAAGTTACTCAAATGCATCATACTATCTGCGCAGGCCTGGGACAGGAACATGTGTGTAACAAGAATGTGACTTTCTCAGAGTAAAGTACAATAGTTGCTGAAACAGGAAGCTGAGGTGCCATGACCTATCTGAAGGCTATGTGAAAAGAACAGAGAAGGGTGAACTTAATGCATGGTTATCTACGGGGGAGGTACAAAGAGAAGGGCTGCACAGAAAAAAGTATTCTTACTTTGCCTGCAAGAGCTGGAATATTCATTGAGTTGGTGGCAAAACCCATGCCAAACACCATGGAGGACTCAACACCCAGGAATCTGGCCACTAATTTCTCAAGCTCTTCATGTTTGTCCAGATTTCCTTCAGGGGTTATAAGACACTATACATAACTGAGACATAATATATCCATGCAGAGTTAAATACAATAATACTCATATCATAAATTCATACATCCTTAAAGCCACATTTCAGGCTGATTAAGTCAAGTTCAGGGCCAAAAAGTGTCATACATTTATAGATCTTTAGGGCCAGAATTATTTAATTAATTTTGTTGATCTCGGTTTGCAGCTATTAAACAAGCATGTTCCATAAATAATTTGAATACATAAGCACATAATGTGTCAGTTTCCTGGACATAGATTAAGCCTAATCTAGTACTAAATTTCAGTGTCAATGAAAAATTACCAGTAGAAATTACTTTCAGTCTGGTTTTCCAGACTCTGGCTTAGTCTGGGTCTGGAAAACCAGCCCAATATCTAAGAAGTGAATATATTACCTATCTCATGCCTTGTGCCACACACTCCCATGCTGTACTTCATTGTGGCCTGTGCAGCCGCGTCTGCACAAAGTCCAGAATTCTCTGCAAAGCCCAGATAGTTATAGGAGCCCATGTTGATAACATCAATCAACACTGTTCCGGTGTGCCTGTGGGAGTACATTGAGGCTTTACCAGTCGACAACAGAAATATTTCTGTAACAATCTGAAATATCAGGCTATTGTTAGCAATGATAAGGTCAATAATTGAAGACTTCCAAAAAGTTAAGAGTCATTTCTTTACTCACTTAAAAGTCCAGTTGTAATCATGGGTCACATGCTCCATAACATCCATCTTAGCCCCTGGCACACTGCATATTGGTCTGTTCCAGTTATCCCTGATCCTCATGTACAAATTCCTTGTGTAGAAGTTCTCAAAGTCCTGATACAAAGGAACGAAGTCCTGAAGACAAAGAAGATATTATGTGAAACCTCTCAAAGCAAATTCATCCTTAGGATTTTGCTTTCTGTACCCTAACAAATTTGTTTAACAAATCAAATGTGAATCTAATGAGAGCTAAAAAGAACCAGGTAATTCACCTTCTGCTCATCTCTCTCCTTGGCCACATGGCACTTCTCGAAATTACAGTCCCGCAAAAAATCCCTCAGGTAGCCGAAGAGAGTAAGAATGCCATAGCCCATGTACGTGAGCACAGCCACAAGCAGAGGCGTTTCCTCAAACGACTCCACAAATGGCTTATTGTAGAGTGATGCATTGCGCCCAATATTGTGATTCTGCAAGCATTTGCAAAACAGAATGACAAACCGTGACAATATACTAATAAAGTTACAGCCAAATAAAATGTACTTTAATGATCATGCCAGGTGTAGCATTTTTCCTTCACAGAAGCCCAATCTAGCCTGACACAAAATAAGCTTAGTGTAAGAACAGCAAACTGAAATAAGAAGAACAGCAAACAGAAGAGGTAAAGAGGAAAAGACATAAAGGGTGGGCAAAAATAATACATCAGGATGCTTCAAGACATTTTCACAATACACAATAAGCATCACAATATTTAGTTATTTCTGAGATTTAATCAATTGAAACAGACTAAACAGAACCTGTTGTGGCACTTCCAAATAATTACAATTAATACTAATACTAATACTACTACTACTACTACTACTAATAATAATAATAATAATAATATTTAATTTTGCCCACCCCAACTTGCTGTTGCCAAAAAGTGAGGAGAGCCTAAGCAGACTGATCTGGTGACCACATGCCCTCACATACTAATTTATTAAATGCGTCAAATAAAATATCAGAGTTATTGAAGGGTAACACTGGCGTTGAATAACTGAATGTGATTAACAATCCAGTCAAGGACTATGAATACAGGTGAGTCCTGTAGAACGTGGCTTTCCAATATGCCTCTCCCTTCAGCTATAATCCATTTATCCCTCAGGTCAAATGAAACAAACAAGACTATAGGCCCTTGAGTCATTCATTAACCCACTCTTGCTACCTTGCAAATGTATGTGATCCATGTCAGCACACTTACTCCTGTGTACTTGTATGACCTCAAATCCACTGACCAGAGTTTCCCTTTCTAACAGTAAAGGAAGAGTCAACATTATTAGGTCATTAGCCCAACCCTCATTTGGTCAAGTGAGCTCAAATTAGGAAAAATGTGTGCTAAAACAAACAAGTCATATAGTTTTTCAAACTTTTACCACATACGCTACTGTTGTAACGTGGAGCCAAGAGCACAGAGGCTGCTTTGAATCTGGATTTGGAAGTGCTCAATAGGATGCCCTCTGGAGGGCACTGGAGTCCTGGGGTTACCCAAAGAGGTAGGCTAATAACCCACACCTTGCATGTTTCAGAGGTTCTCTAAAACTAAACAAGCTTCAAACACATATGCTCCCTTCGTCTCTTGAGAACAGAGGTTGTTCCCAAATGACCACTGCCATGAATAAGAGCGTGCCATGACGGGAGCATCCAACAAAGTGTTTTACTCAAGTTGCTTGACACAAACCAGACCGGGACTCTCTAAGGTAGCGTCAATGTAAACAGACATATCACGGAACCTCACCTCACAAGTGTGTATCGTGTGAACGACAAACACTTACAAGCTCTGAGCCTTACATTAATACTCAAATCTGACCATTCAAAATGTTGTTGCTTATTATATTGGTCAATGAAAAATGTAACCTAGCTAATTCAGGCTACTGTCCACTTAAATGTAGTTTATAAGAGACAAGTAACACATAATAAAAAAGTTTCAAGAAGATAACGATAAAGGCCAATAATACTAATTGGCAAAAGCTGTATGGGTTGAACCAATCACATAACTGAAGACTTGAAGTGGACAAGTTGACGACGTGTAACTTACTTGTCCCACGTATTCTCTCTCTGTCGTCAAAATGAACAAGCCATAAGCTAAAGAACACATCGCAATGACAAGTGATTCGCAACATAATCGAACTTAGTGTTCAAAACAAACACTAGCCTACCACACCACACTACGAGGGCAAACATTACTGTACAGTTTTAGAAAACGCTTATTGTGGGCAAATTTTCAGAAAGATTTTTCAAATGTGTATTTGAATTTGAAACACACATAGAAACCCACAATCATATACTTGTTTGAAGAGAACCGTTTAAATGCTCTTTGAAACTACAGGGGTTCAGTCCCGAAGTGGCATCTGGCAGCAGGAAGTGGCAACTCCGCCGTCCGGAAATGGCACGTACTGGCATGTGCCACTTAGCGAATGACACCTGCCACCGATAACTGGTAACGAGTGGCACATGCCGCTCATGCCACACAGAAACGGCGTGTGCCTCTCAAAACAGGCACATACCAACAGCTCCTGTGAGTAAAGCAGTGACTCTGGACAGCGGCTACTCGGCTCGGCTAAGTAGTAGCACATCATAGCTCCACCATCGGCCATCAGAACCTGGGAAAAGTCATGGAGGAATATTGACCTAAAGACTCTGTGCAGATAGTCTGTCATTTTGTTGGTTCACTGGTTGTGCTGTTGGGTGAACGATTCTAAGCGAAATGAGCCGCAGGCTATGCAACAATAGCAGTAATGCTATCTTGAATATAAACTCTTTGCGGGCTTTTGTTGTGGCACGGAGAGCTGAAGAAAGCAGCTCGTGCTACAGATGTACTCAAACTAATTACTGAATTCATTGTGGTGTTATTCATGCTAAATCTAAAGTATGTATAGACTATTTATCGGCGTATTTATTAAACAGGACAAGAGGAACGCAGGCTTGTGTTCTTGTTTTATTATTTTTCCAAGAGTGGCACTAGCCATTTACTGAGGGTAAAGGCACTGGCATGTGCCGCTCAGGAGTGGTACTAGCCATTTACTGAGGCGAAAGGCACTGGCATGTGCCGCTCAGGAGTGGCACTATCCATTTACTGAGGCGAAAGGCACTGGCATGTGCCGCTCAGGAGTGGCACTATCCATTTACTGCTGGCCAGCATTTTGCTGGGTGGTGGGGGAGATAATTATATTTACATGTTACCAAGTGCTAAGTTTTGAAAATAGCGCCTCATGCTGTTCATAAGGGAGTCAGTAGTGGAAACTATCACAAAACGTGACAAAAAATTGATTGATTGGCCCCTTGACCTATATTCTTCCATACTGTCAAGAGCTCTCAATGTTACATCAGTTAAAGTAGGGACAACCACTCCTGAGCGGCACATGCCAATGGCTTTACCCTCAGTAAATGGCTAGTGCCAATCCTGAAAAAATAATAAATAAAAACAAGAACGCAAGCCTGCGTTCCTCTTGTCCTGTTTAATAAATACGCCGATAAATAGTCTATACATACTTTAGATTTAGCATGAATAACACCACAATGAATTCAGTAATTAATTTGAGTACATCTGTAGCACGAGCTGCTTTCTTCAGCTCTCCGTGCCACAACAAAAGCCCGCAAAGAGTTTATATACAAGATAGCATTACTGCTATTGTTGCATAGCCTTCGGCTAAAGCGGCTCATTTCGCTTAGAATCGTTCACCCAACAGCACAACCAGTGAACCAACAAAATGACAGACTATCTGCACAGAGTCTTTAGGTCAATATTCCTCCATGACTTTTCCCAGGTTCTGATGGCCGATGGTGGAGCTATGATGTGCTACTACTTAGCCGAGCCGAGTAGCCGCTGTCCAGAGTCACTGCTTTACTCACAGGAGCTGTTGGTATGTGCCTGTTTTGAGAGGCACACGCCGTTTCTGTGTGGCATGAGCGGCATGTGCCACTCGTTACCAGTTATCGGTGGCAGGTGTCATTCGCTAAGTGGCACATGCCAGTACGTGCCATTTCCGGACGGCGGAGTTGCCACTTCCTGTTGCCAGATGCCACTTCGGGACTGAACCCCCTCTCCTTTGAAATACAGCGTTTCCGGGTTGGCTTAATTACTCAAATACACACAGCGCACTTCTCCAGAACTGTTGCTGACGGTCAGGGCCTCACCTCCTTGGGACGACGGCATTTCTGCTGTTGGAATATGCAGTGTGTTTTCACGAAGCCATTCCTTCCCGGTTTTTTGCCATTACTAGTCCAGAGACAAGTCTCTCCATTCAAAAGCTTGCTGGCTGCGCTTTCCGTCATGTTGGCCGACTGTTCCGCTCCGGTCATACCACTCTCCCGTTTACTTGCGTAATCATCATGTTATGAACGGCACATTGCTATTCCTCACCGCCACCGCCTACGCTGACATAAACTAGATTACTGGAAAGATACGCCCCTGTAGAGCCACTGCTGTAAACCAAGCGGGCGATTAAACGTCACGCAAAAAGGCGGGGTTTGGTGTTAAATATTTATTGGAGTTCTTTGGGATCAAAACACGTGGGAATCTTCGGGTTAACACGTAAATCATAATTTCGTGTTAACATATAAATACTTACCGTGTTAAAACGCCAAATATTTGCGAGTTGGAACGTTAAAACGCGTTAACATGTTAAATTGGCGCATCTGGATTTTTTACTGTTGGGAAACCTTTGTGAACTATGATGTTTTACCGCCACCTACTGATGTGGCGTTATTGCTGAAACAACATACAGAACCAACAGACTAAATAATGGAAAATTCCAACTTTCAATTTATTTTAAAATACATTCTGAACAATGTCTTCTGGAGAAATTCCTAATAGGCATAAATACATTGTACTGTAAATAGTTTAAAGCTTATAGTAATTATATATTTTAATTAATTTAGCAGCACCAAAAGCATTTTTGTTTGAAATGGGCCTAAAATACTTTTTAAAATAAAATCCCTGCAGAAAAAACATAGAAACCATTAAATGTTTCTAATAGTTCCTGGAGGTTTTGTACTGTGTTTTGGATTTACTTGATGGGCTAATATCGCAGCGTAAAGGATCCTAATGGTTTAACAGGTGGGACCTGGGACTGATTCCTGATGCATTTGATGGTTTCTTAATGGAATCTTGTCCTACAGGAAACTAGTGGTCTTTGATGGTAACCATTAAGCCAATTCCCATTTGAAAGAAAAATCATCAGGTTTTAATCCTAATGATTCTAATGGTCTTTTTCTTCCAACAGGGATCACATAACAGAACATAATGCTTTGGATTATTGTCCTGCTGGAAGATCCAAATTATGGCCCAGTTTAAGCTTCCTGGCTGAGGCAGTCAAGTTTTGATTTTCATTCTGCTGGTACTTGATGGAGTCTGTGATACCACATATACAAACAAATTGTCCAGGGCTTGTTTTTTGGCTTTGTCTCTTGCATACAGAGATTTCTCCAGATTCTCTGAATCTTTTAATGATATTATGTACCGTAGATGATGAAAAGCAAAAGTTCTTTGCTATTTTATGTTGAGAAACGTTATTCTTGAATTGTTGCACTATTACACAACTTTTCTCAGTTTCAGCATTTGATATGTTGCTTTGTACTATTTTCAATGAAATATAGGGTTTAAATGATTTGCACATCATTGCATTTTGTTTTCATTTACATTTTGCACAGTGTCCCAACTTTTTTGGAAATGGAGTTGGAAAACCACTGAGTGAATTGGTTTAAAACACTGTTTGTGCTAAGTAGCCTATTTACACTTTTGCTAAATTTAGAATTTATTCTAAATCATTCATGTATCTAAATCATTCCTTGAATTATAAAATGTGTATAGATATTACATTGTGATTACTTAAATGAACTTTTTTAATATAAGTAATCACAATTTTAGTTTTTTTGTCTAGAAAAAAAATTTATACTCTCTGAAAACCAATGCTATAAAAGGACTTTGTTTCATGTGTTTAACAGTGATCATTCAGTTTGTGAAAAAGAAGGAAAGATGTAATAAAATAGTGATTAACTTCAGACACCACCATTTACTGCAAAAATAAATTTAGAAAATGTAATCATTTTTAAATTTAATAGTAAGTAAGGTAGTGAGGAACCATCAGGACTTTCTGTATACCACTCCAGCGCCTTGCTGATAAGACTGGACATCCTGCAATAAAACTTCAATTGTTTGTTAATGCAGTAAACTGCTCATTACAGTTTTTTAAATATCTGATATCTTCAGATTTTACAGGACTTTCACTTCAGGAACATGCTTTATTGAAATTACATAATTAATATTTTATCATTTTTCTAAATACAAGAATACAATAATTAAAAAAAGCCCTTGGGAAAGTGGCAGAAAAGTAGAGGACAATAAAAGTATCTCTGTCTTTTTGCTCTTTAAAAGATGCAAAAATTGTGTATCTCTTCAAAACTAATTTGTCTAAATAAACCTGTTGATGCCAGACTGTAACCTAAAACTTAACATAAAATGTTCTTGCAGTGACAACCTGCAAAGCACACTCTGCTGTTCTGGAAGTCTTTAAAGCATATAGTGTTGTTCTGGTACAATGTACTGTTCTGGAGGTCCGCAAAGCACACGCTGCTGTTCTGGTACATGGTGCACTCCTGTGGGTCAACTGGCATTTATAAGATTTTAAACCCTATAGAGCAAAAACAAAAATCAGTTTGTCACTTAATTTTTTTCTTAAGTGTATTTTAAAATAAGTGAGACAACTAGTTTAATAAATTATGTAAATACCAAAAAATGAATGAGCATATACTAAATACAAAATTATATAAAAAAAAAATGACAAAATTACCTTTGTGTTTAATAGCAGACCATTCACAAGTCTGCATATGTGCCACCAGTGCAGGGGCCTCTCCGCTCCTGCTGCAGATTTGCCACTTGTACACGTTTGGACCAACACAAACAGTAACATGTAACCTGGAAGAAACACAAAACATTTAAGTGTTTACATTTACACACGATCATATCAATACTTCACCAAAAGACACTTTTCTGCTAAAATATCATTTGTTAACACTAAACTAATTTAAATCAACACAAATATTGATCCCAAACTTTACCTACTATCAGCATGTGCATAACAATGTCCAGGACACATTTATGAAGAAAACACTAAAAGGTCACATCAGTAAAAGAAGTAAAATTTAGTGATGCCTAATGTTAATTTATCTGCTAACTAACCGAAAACAACACAAAACATATCTGCTATCTGCGTTGTTGCAGGTGTTCATTACAAAGCAGGAGCACACCTTTTAAAGCTAATCAGACAGAGACTGCATAAACAAGGTGAATCAGGTATGCTTGATTAGAAACCTGCAGCCACATTGTGGATAAGATTGGACACCCCTGTTCTTGCAAGCATTTGTTGACTAGGCAGCACTTGACTTTACAGTTAAGCATATTGTAACATATATTTACACACAATATGAATTAGTCTACTTCGGTAGAGCCACGTTGAACTGGAGTATGGAATATGCTTAACCGCCTAGTTATTTAAAAAAACTTTTGTTAACATACATGTTTAAACATGCTTTGATCCAAAAGGCCTTTGCTAAGTATTAACCACAAAGCTGGGTGCGTCACTGAGCGATACATTCCCCAGCTGCCGGATCCCAATATTGTATACTGCGCATGCAACGTCACATGTCAAAGAAAACACTGCAAATTAACAGCAAGAAGCAAACCAAAAGCAATTTAATTACAGGACATCCAAAATTAAAACACTATACACTGTTTTCCAAAACAATAAAGATAACAAAAATAATATGGTTTGATTTTTAAAATGAGAACAAATAAGGTGGTGAGCACATATGTTTTTTGTATTACACGTGTTGTTAAGAGCTGTTGCCCTCCTGCTGGGCTTCTGTAACAACAGTTTCCCTCAGTTTCACTCTGTCTTTGTTCTCTGACATAATGGTTTCATCTGGAAAAGTATGACTACAAGTAAAAGCAGAAAAAAACAACAACAAAGGAACAGACCATCTCAACAGTTCTGGTGCAACAGCAAGATGAGCCTTTGGCTGCCCAGAGGTACGTTAAACGTTAAACCAGGGCAATTTAGTTCATATTTGCTTCAAAACCAAAAGCTTTACCGCCATTACTGTCATTGCTGAACTTTTTCTAAGGGTATAGCCCATAAGCGGGAAACAAGCGAAACGTCAACAGCATCTATAAGCCCTTTCTCAGAACTTAAACTCTTACTGGAGAAACTGACCAGGCGAACTGACCATTTTCCTTGTGGTAGCAGAACAAACTAAACACGGTTCTCTCTTTTTGACAATTTTTAACAGCTTTTGCAGGTAAAACAAGCCTATCATTCACCACAAGGCTGAAGTTGACTTCTTCTTTGCCAACTATGTATTGGAATTTGTTGTTCCACTTTAAATGGTGCAGATGGCACTGGGACGTAACTGCTGCACCATGTAAGGTGGAACAGAAAATTCGACTAAGAAGCTGCTGGCGAAAAAAGTCAACTTCAGCTCCGTACATTCACCATCATTTTGCTGTCTTTTATCTCAACTTTGTTCAGCTTGGTCGTTTTATTTTCTATTGTTGTTTAATTTTAATTCAAATGCCATTGTTTTTAGTTGGCTGAGCTAGTTTTAGTGCTGAGCTAGTTTTTATTTTAATCCTGTGTGCCCAGTGTTCCCAAAAATTATCTTCAAATATAAAGTTTTTAAAATTAAGTTCAATAGTACTTTTAAAATTATTTTCATATGTTGTGCACTACTCTTTGTGTATACCAGTATGTCTGTCATGCACTCTTAAAAGGGATGGTTCCTCAAAGGTTCTTTGGTAAAGAAAATACTTCTAAAAAGAATCATGAACACTTTGCATTATTAAAGGTTTCTTTGCATCAAGAAATGGTTCTTCAGATTAATGGAGAATGTTCTGTAGATGGTTTTGTATAGAACCTTTTTGAAAAGGGTTCTATAGAGCACCCAAAGGGTTCTCCTGTTGTTACAAGCTTGACATCATAACAATAGAAGAACCCTTTGGGTGCTATATAGAATCCTTTTCAAAAAGGTTCTATATAGAACCATCTACAGCACATTCTTAGTAACACTTTCATGATGCAAAGAGCACTTTAACCATGCAAAGGATTGTTTGAGTGTTTTTAGAACTATTTTCTAACACTTGAAGAACCATCCTTTTTAAGAGTGTGGTTATCTGTCTTTTCAGCTTTGATCGACTCTGGAGCCGAGGGCAACTTCATCAATGTGGTTCAAGAAATGCGGATTCCGGTGAAGCCACTCGAACAACCATTCAAGGTTGCTGCCTTGGATGGAGAACCTGCCTGACCGGGCACCTTCACACTCATCACATACCCCATTACACTAAACACTAGCTCTCTCCATTCAGAAGTCATTAAGTTTTATGTTTTGAATTCCTGAGCTCTCAGTTATAC